TACATGGATGACATTTTATTATCTGATTCAAATAAAGATATTTTGGAAAGTATGTTTGAAGAAGTAAAGAAAGTCTTGCCTAGGTGGGGATTACAAATTGCCCCTGAAAAGATTCAAAGAGGAGATTCTATTAATTACCTAGGTTACAGAATAGGGTTAGAGAAAATTCGAACGCAAAAGGCACAAATTAGGAGAGACCGGTTACGGACTCTTAATGACTTCCAAAGACTGTCAGGTGACATTTCCAGTCTATGACCAGCTGTTGGGATAACACCTGATTTAATAGTTCATTTAAACAAAACCTTAGATGGTGATAAAGATTTGAATAGTCGGGGCTGGAGAGATGGCTCACTGGTTGAGAGCACTGACTGTTCTTCCAGAGGTTCTGAGTTCAATTCCCAGCAACCACATGGTGGCTCACAGCCATCTCTAATGAGATCTGGTGCCCTCTCCTGGCATGCAAGCATACATGGAAGGAATGTTGTATACATAATAAACAAATAAATATAAAAAAAAAGATTTGAATAGTCCCAGAAAATTGACAGTTGAAGCAGAAAAGGAACTGACAATGATTGAGGAAAAATTACAGGAGGCACATGTGGATAGAGTCAACCGGAATCTTAGTTCCATCCTAGTCATACTGCCTTACAGAATTTCTCCTACAGGGATTTTAATGCAGAGGGAAGATATTATTTTAGAGTGGATATTTATACCTCATAAACCAAGTAAAAATTAAAAATTTATGTAGAAAAGGTCTCTGAATTAATTATAAAAGGTAAACTGAGACTTCGTCAACGAGCAGGTATAGACCCAGCAGAAATTATAGTGCCTTTTACTATTGAGGAAATAAGAAAGTTATGGGAAGATAATGAACCATGGCAAAGAGCTTGTGCTAATTTTTTGGGAGAAATTAACAGCAACTATCCCAAAAGTGATAGACTTAACCTCATAAAGAGAACTTCTTGGATTCTTCCTAGAATTGCACGTGATGCTCCAATAACTGGAGCCCGGACATTTTATACCGATGCAAATAAATCAGGGAAAGCAGGTTATAAATCGGAAGAATTGAGTAAGATGGAACAAAGCCCTTATAATTCTGTCCAGAAGGCAGAATTATATGCCATTCTTATGGTGCTAAGGGATTTTAAAGAACCTCTTAATATAGTTACAGATTCACAATATGCAGAAAGAGTTATCTTGCATATTGAAACCGCTGAATTCATACCAGATGAAACAGAGTTGACTTCATTGTTTATCCAGGTACAGGACATAATTAGGAATAGGCTTTGTCCTATATACATAACACACATCCGGTCCCATACCGGTCTGCCTGGCCCTCTAGCACAAGGAAACGCTGAAATTGACCAATTATTGATTGGAAGCGTTCTGCAGGCCTCAGAATTTCATAAAAAACATCACGTCAATATAAAGGCTTAAAGAAAGAGTTTTCCATTACATGGCAACAAGCCAAGGACATTATAAAGAGATGTCCTACTTGTTCTTTCTATAATCAAACACCATTGCCTGCAGGGAGTAACCCAAAGGGTACTCAAAGGAATGAAATCTGGCAGATGGATGTGTACCACTTTATGGAATTTGGTAAATTAAAATATGTACACCACACCATAGACACGTATTCAGGTTTTCAATGGGCAATTGCCCTGAGCTCAGAAAAGGCTGATTCGGTAATCACACATTTATTGGAAGTTATGACCATCATGGGTATACCTGCACAAATAAAGACAGACAATGGTCCAGCATATGTATCTAAGAAAATGAAACGCTTCTTTGCTTATTATAATATAAAACACGTTACAGGTATACCAAATAATCCAACAGGTCAGGCAGTTATAGAAAGATCAAATCGTACTATAAAGGATATGCTAAACAAACAGAAAGGGATGAAAGATACACCCAGAAATAGATTGCATAATGCTTTATTAACCTTGAATTTTCTTAATGCTAATGAGAAAGGAACAACAGCAGCAGAGAGGCATTGGATAATGGAAAAAACTTCTGAACTAAACCAACTTGTTTATTTCAAAGACGTGCTGACCTCTCAACGGAAGCCAGGAGATGTGCTACGTTGGGGAAGGGGTTTTGCTCTTGTTTCCACAGGAGAAGAAAAATTGTGGATACCATCAAAATTAATAAAGGTTCAATTTGAAGAGGAGAAACCTCTTGGAAAGGAGAAATGACAGCTCATCTACAATGATGATATTCATACAGTTGGTAAGAAAAACATATAGAATGGGGGCAGGGTTCTGTTCTTATCTCCACAGGAAAACACTGATCTTTGAAAAGTTCAAGGGACCCTGGATATTTGAATACTGACAGATGGAAAATAACGGCCCAATAAGGACTATCAAGAAAACTGAATAGGCTCTGTAAGTACAATATACTAAATCATATTTCTAAATTTATAGAGCTGGTTTTAGAGTTGGACTCTGGCTCAGTCCCTCTCTAATTCCAAGCCTGTTGTTTAAAGAAAAACCCAGAGTTTCTGGAGTTTCTGTGTCATGTCAAGAGCCATGATATGGGACAGAAAGAAATATGAGTTTAGAAAACATCTTTACTCTTCTTCATATCTATCATACCTTTCATTAAATATATCTATCATGTATTTCATTGAATATATGTATGTCTGAATATGTCTATATGATTAATGTTTAAGTTTTCCACAATGAACAATGAGTTTTTCTTGCAGTGACATTTGAAGTTTCTAGGAAGAAGATGGGGCCCCATAACAACAACAACACCTGGTTGATATGACGTCATGATACTGATAGTGCTACTACAAGACCTGTTTTGGGTACCAGCTGCACAAGACGATTCCAACGTGCTGAAATGGTGCACATCTTGTACAACATTCTGGCCAGACCTCCACAAAATACTCAGAGACTGGGGCTGGAGAGATGGCTCAGTGGTTAAGAGCATTGCCTGCTCTTCCAAAAGTCCTGAGTTCAATTCCCAGCAACCATATGGTGGCTCACAACCATCTGTAATGAGGTCTGGTGCCCTCTTCTGGCTTTCAGGCATACACACAGACAGAATTATGTATACATAATAAATAAATAAAAATCTATGAAAAAAAAATACTCAGAGACTATTTGCAATTTTAAAAGACATTGATCTTGAAATTTAACCATCATTTTACTTTCACAGGATCCCCCAGAAAGAACGTCGCCCCCATGACAGCTGGAAGTAATTCTAGAGAACCACGTCCCCTCTCCCAGTAAAGTTTATCCTTGGGTTTAGGGACATCATTTAGGGGTTGGTTATAATTAGTATACGGTTGAGGGTTGGGGGAGGAATTTTATAAGCGCAGGAATCTTTAAAAAAAAAAAAAGAGGGATAATTGGATTATGGGATAATAGCTTTGTACTTGTGAGTTATTGTTTTTAGACAAACATATTGGTATCGATTCTTATATATTGATACAAAGTTAAATTATGTTGACTATTTTATGCATGCATGCTTCTACCTCTGTTTAAAACATTTTTATGTATTGGTATATATATTGTATTGATATATGTATATTTACCATATTGCATTGTACACTTCTACCTCTGATTAAGATACTTATATATTGTTTATGTATTGATATATATATTTACCATATTGCAATGTATACTTGCACATTGTTTATATTTGGACATCACATTGTCCTCATTTATTGCACAGTTGTTTATTACCTCAGTCTTTAAGTTAGATAGATATTGAGAATTATATAGATCAACAGTCATCTAAGTTTGTCATTTATAATTAGACTAATCAGGTTCTTAGATACATAGAGATTATATTCAGTATAGATAGATAATCTTCAACCTCTTCAAAGAGTTGTAGAAAATGGCCTTTAATCTAATTCAGAGTTCTGTGGTAGGGAGACACAATCGCTCCTGGCAACACTGATCTATTCCTGAGAGAATGTTGAGCACCAAAGACACTCCACCTGGAGCCTTTCTTCTTGGCAGAACTGGCCTTTGGGTAAAGAAATGCCCATACCTCAACTACTGACAGAGTTACAGAATATCCGTAAATGGATAAAACAGGACTGTCATATCCTGCCAAGACAGGGTAAGATAGTTTTGAAATTTCTTGCCTTTGAAAATGGTATGTCAGTTACACCAGGCCTTAGCCAAAGTTGGTTGCTTCAATGCTGCAAACGTGACTTTGGGTGTTTGCCCAGGTAGCCAGTTGTCTCTGTGATTTGTTACATGTTCTGGAAGTTGTTTGATTGTACTTCCTAATTACTCAGGTAGCATTATTTCCCTTCTCAGATCTTCGATGGGATTGAAGATTATATAAATGCAGTTACTTTCCTTTCATGACTTGGCCAAGTTATTTGTTATACAAGACTTAAGCTAGTTAGAATAGGATATTTGTATTTATTGTATATAATTTCATAGGTTTGTACTTATTGTATATAATTTCGTAGTAGGCTTAGAACTCTCTTACTTAAACAAAAGCGGGAGATGCTGTGGGAGCTCCTTCCGCTCCTTCAGCCAATCGCTGCTGAGTTACCAGCCCATTGGGGCGTGGTCTCTCTCTCTTTAAAAAAAGCAGCAGTTGTCCTCCTCTCCCTCTCTGGCTTCTGGCTCCGCTTCCGGCTCCTGGACTCCTTTCCTGTTCACGCGGAGGGGCTGTTGTCTGGGACGGTAATCTATAAGTTTTTTCCCCTTTGAATAAATAACCATTCTATTAATCATAATTCCAAACTGGTGTGGGATTGTCTGTGACTTATGCCTTCATAAATCTATCAGGTTATAAATGCATTTACACTTTGTTACACTAAAATATTCCTTTGGACTTTTTTTTTTTCAACCCACTTTCTCATCCATCACACTAATGACTAGAGAAGGCCTGTGAGATTTGCTAGCACCATCCCCCACGTTCCGCACCTTCCACAGATCTCACATGCAAAATGTGGCAGAGCCGTGCACTAACATGAATAAAGAAGGTCCATTAGCTCCTCCAGCACCACTCTTGGCATTACATACCTTCCACAGATCTGAGATGTAAAACTTGGCAGAGCCATGCACCCCTTCTCTCCAGGCACGGTACCTGGAGTACCAGACCAACCAAGGGTTCAGCTCATAGCCGACAGCTGGGAATCCTTCCTTTGCAGCTGCAATCACCTGGACAGAGTGGGGGCAAGCAAAAGAAAATTGTCATCTTGCATAAGAGTTCCCTACTAGGGTTTATAGCCCTAAAATATTCCACTAAAATGTACTTCTTTTTCTTTTTTGGGGGGGTGGGGGTTCGAGACAGAAAAACTACTTTTGCTGTAGTTTTTTTAGAGCCTGTCCTGGAACTAGTTCTTGTAGACCAGGCAGACCTCAAACTCAGAGATTTGCCTCTGCCTCCTGAGTGCTGGAATTAGGGGCATGCGCCACCACCGCCAGGCAAAAGGTACTTCTTCAGAGCTATTGGGAAAGAGGAAGGGATCGGGGAGAGGGGAAATCAGTAGTTTTAATGAGAATGGTCCCATAAGCTCATATAGTTGAATACTTGGTCCCCAGTTGGTGAAACTGTTTGAGAAAGATTGGTACCAGTAGCCTTGCCAACGGTGGTGACACATGCCAGCACTTGGAAGGCAGATCTCTGAGCTCGAGATCTACAGATCTACAGAGAGGGTTCCAAGACAGTCAGGCTACACAGAGAAACCCTGTCTCAAAAGAACAAAAAAGAGAGGTTTTGTTCAAGGAGATATGTCACTGGGAGTGGGCTCTGAGGTCTCAAAAGCCCATGCCATTCCTAGCTGACTTTCTGTCTTTTGCCTACAGGTCAGAGAGGAGCTCTTAGCTATTATTCCTGCACCCTGCCTGCAGCCGTGATGGTGATGGACTCCAACCCAAACACTCTTTCTTCTATAAATTGCCTTGGTTATGATGTCTTACCACAGCAATAGAAAAGTAACTAAAACAGGATCTAAGAGAGAGAAGGGGAATGAGCAGGATCAAAGTGCATTATGTACACAGACAAAATTTCACAATGAAATTTTAATTAAAATTTAAAATTTATAATATTTAAAAAGACTACTACTTCTTTCAATGAAGATCCCATGTAAAAATGTTATATCTAAAGTTCTATAGTTCATGGACAAGACCCAACTAACCCAAAGTTTTCTATGTTTTGTCAAAGATCTTGCCTTGAGTATCAGGGGATACTCAGGCTTGTGTTAGACAAATGCATCCCTGGTTCTGGCGCAGCTATCCCTAGCGGTAGAAAACCATGGCTGAAAATGTGCACCTCTCTCCAGCAGTGGCTGGCAGAGTGGACGGGAAAGTGAAAGCGGATCATGGATAATGCCCAATGAAAATGACCTGTCCAAAAGCTGCAGCACCCAGGAACTCATGGCAGCTGTGGTCGCCTGCATGGGACCTGTACGAGATAAGCCAGTCAACCTAGCTTGGAAGGGGGAGAGGAGCTCCCAGGCCCATCCCTGGCAGATGACAGCACTCAGCGGTGGGCAGTGGTGGAAGGGGGAGAGGAGTTTCCAGGCCCATCCCTGGTAGATGACAGCACTCAGCGGTGGGCAGTGGTGGAAGGGGGAGAGGAGCTCCCAGGCCCATCCCCGGCAGATGACAGCACTCAGAGGTGGGCAATGGTGACAACCCAACAACGGGAATGACTTCACATCACAGAATAAAAATGGTTACGATTACGGTTTATAATATTTTGCCACACTGTAAGAAATGTCTAGAGAGCCTGAGTCACTTTTCAGTGTCTCTAGTGTGACTGCAGGCAGTCTCAATCACAAAGCCAGGGTCCAGAGGACGAGCGACCATGGTGCAGCCCTGCCGGTCTGCACCCCACATGATGCCAGGACACACCCCAGGCTCACTCCACTCCTGTCACCTAAGGACAAGGCCTAGGGATGTGGCCGCCTTCCTTGCTAAGGATCACTTACCTGCCAGCCAGTGACTTTTTCTTTACTCAGAGATTCAGGCTAGGATCACACATGTTACAGTCACTAAAAATCTGATTTTTTTTTCTTGGCAAGGTCTCATGTAGCCCAAATTCTGTACCTAGCAGAGGCTAGCCTTGAAGCCCTGATTTTTCTGCCTCCACCTTCCAAATACTGGGATTTTAGCTACATGTAACTATGCCTACCCTGAATTCCTATCTTTAGTCAAGCTGGGTTTCACCAATGGCCTTTCTTATTTTTAACTTTATATCGGCTCCTGGGAATCATTACTGACTCATGTATCGCTACAGAGAAACATAAAGCAAGCATCTAAACTGCAAAAGAGTAAAGGTGATTCAACTCCCCAACTCCACGTTTCTTGTAATCATGCCACATTTACTGGACCAAAAAATTCTAATAGACATTCGGTAATTAGCAATTAACTGATTCTTTCTACCTGGCATGTTTACAGAGTACTTTCCTCCAGAAGAAAAAAAAAATCAATCAGAGAAAAATGAACTCTAAACACATGCTGGTGGTCCAACAGTTTAGCCAAACACAAAATGAAACACACACTTTTCAAACTGTCGCATTTGGCAAATCTTTGCAGAAGCCTCCTAAGAAATGTAAAGCATAAATCCCAACAGTGGTGGCTCCAATCCTGTAGAAGCTTTTACGTGACTCACAATGCGTCCGTCGCCACTGCCGATGTCAACCAGAGAGCCTCTTCTGTGCTGCAACATCTTCACGACATTTTCAATCTGCTTCGAAGTGGCAGGCACAAACGGCAAGCAAACTTTCCGCAAGGCCGGTGTGATAAATGGGGTGGCCACAGCGTACACTGTCACCAGTGCCCCACCAATGATCCCAGTAAACAAGAACCCCCAATTGCTCTTCTTCAAACTGTCGGATTCCAAGTTGGTAGGCAGAACATGATGGCCAGACTGTCTTTCTTCCCCAGGCGTTTCTAGGTACGAGCCGTTGTTGAAAGGAAGCAGAAACACAGAGCACACATTAGAAAGGCCAGGCTTCATCTTCCCAACAACTCTTCTGACACACGGTTCTTGTTTATGTTTACTTGTGTACATGTGTGTGTATGTGCATGCGCACGTGTGTGTGTGTGTGTGTGTGTGTGTGTGTGTGTGTGTGCATGAGCCTGTGCAGATGCCCGCAGAGGTCAGAAGAGATGTCAATCCCTGAAGCTGCAGTTACGGTGGTTGTGGCTGCCTGGCACGGGTGATGGGAAGTGAGCTTGGGTCGTCCGCAAGAGCAACAAGTGCAACCACAGAGCAGCCTCTCCAGTCTAACTCATCTCTTTAAAGGATACATTCACCGGGTATAATCTAGTTTACAAGAGAAAACTCCGCAATGACTTCTAAACCCCACCAGTAAAATTAAAGAGATTTGGGGAAAATTCTTCAATACTAATGAAAGATTAAAATCTTTTCTTTCCGTTGTACTGATTTATGTATCTAGGACTCTAGTAATTAATGTGTTATCTCAAAATCCATTATTGCATGTTTTAATCATAAACTTCACATTTGTATAGTCTAAACAAAGAAAGCTTCAAGGAAAACCAAGCATTAAAATGTCCAGTTATTGCCCATTTAAAATACGCTGAAGGCATTACACACCAAAACCGTGCTAGCATCTACAATCTAGTTGTACAGCTACAAATTTGAGGCGACCAGAGATGAAAATCAGATTTTGCCAAAGTGTTTAATAAATATGGTAATAAAAAAATGTAAAAGCACGTGGCAGGGGGGTCATTTCAATACTGTCAGCACAGAAGAAAACCGACAAGCTCTACTCTGACTGCAGAGAATGTCACTGTACTATTCCTTGTCCTGAGCTGCACTTTAAAATGCAACCTTGTGGGATGCAAAACTAAAGGGAGGGGAAGTTGATTAAGGACAAGCAAAGCACAGTTAAAAGCCAGACAAGGTGCCAGTTCTGTGAGTGTAACCATGTGACCTCAGTCTTCCTGATGACCCTCCACCTCCTCACCTGAGAACAGCTGGAGAGTGACTGAGCAGGTTCAGGTAAGGCACTCCTGAGGCTCAGGCACACAGGAAGCAGGGACACCCAGTGTCAACTATTTACACATTACGGGAACAGTGTGGAATCCCATAGCAAACAGATCACTGCTGTGGGTAAGACTGACAATGCATGAATCCACAGGAAGCAGGAAACAGTCAGAGGAGGGACAGCAGATGCTTGCCATTCATATATGGCTGGTTCCAGCTATCAGAAAGTCATTCAAAAGGCCTGCAGGGTTTACTTCAAGCTTCTATAAGAAGGGACCACAGTCTTATTTCTCACCATCCAATGGAGGTCAGACGTCTGCAGTGGGCTGACAAGTAGTTCGGTCCGTAGGAATCATGCAGTGAGATCTCAGCTGATAAGACAGAAGGCTGACCCACCAGAACGAATGCGTTCTGATGGAGAGAAAGCCAGTTCACAAGGTACTGGTCTACCTTCTTTTGCATATTGACAGTGGACCTCTTATGAAGCCATAAGCACTCTCCCTTGTACAAAATTCAGCAGAGTATGGATTATTGGGCACAATTCTTTCTTTCCCATATACTGGTGTATTGAACCACCACCTCCCCCATTCTCTGTGAATTCCAATGATGACGTGGGATTCCCCTCTGTATGCTTGAATACCATTGGTTAACAAAGAAACTGTCTTAGGCCTACACAAGGCAAAACTTAGGTAGTTGGGGAAAACTAAACTGAATGCTGGGAGAAAGAAGACAGAGTCAATGAGAAGCCATGTGGCCTGGCCAGAGACAGAGGACAGAACTTTACCCAGTAAGCCACAGCCTTGTGGTGATACACAGATTAATGGAGATGGGTTAATTTAAGATATGAGTTAGCCAGAAATATGCTTAAGCTATTGGCCAAACAGTATTGCAAATAATAAGGTTTCTGTGTGATTATTTTGGGGCTGAGCAGCCAGGAACAAGCAGCCTCCAACAACACCGTGGGAATAAAGAAACTGATGCAGAAAATTCCGTGTTTGCTGTAAGTCTTCTTCTGAACCCTGAAGGGGACACTGAGGCTGGCACTCAGAGGTCCCTGATAGACAAGACTGCAGTAGTGACATATTATTTGTGTTCTAATAAACAAATCTTGCCTGAAGACCAGAGGCAAAGCTAAAGCCACTAGAAGATAGGCAATGGTGACACACACCTTTAATCCTAGGGTTCAAGGTCGCTCTGGGCTATACAAAAATCAATGCAGAAACAAATCCAGGTGGTGGTGGTCTACCCCTTTAATTCCAGTGCTAGGGAGTCATACTCCCTTAATCCCAGCACTAGAGAGATATAAAAGCGAGAGAGGCTGTCTGTTAAGTATGTCTGTTAAGTCTGTGGTTGCCCAGCCTTGGTAGACGTAACACTACTCTAGAGGCGTGGCTGCTTTGCTTTTCTGGTTTTGGGGTTGAACCCCAATGGCTGACTCCAGGATTTTATTATTTGTGCTACAGGCTGCAGTACTCCTAAGGCCTTTAGACTGAAGATCAGTTCCTTTGCATTTTCCAGCTTTCAAAAGCTACATGCTTTGATTTTAACCCCACAGCACTCCAACCCCTTCTTCCATCCTGATAGCTCCTTTCTCCCTTTGCCCTTCTTTTCAACAAGAGTGTGCACATCTAGTTAGTGCAAGATAATTTCTGATCCAAGATCTTCAATCACATTTGCACAGGCTACATCAGTCAGAATGCATATATTGGGGAAGAGAGTTGATATTCTACACACTACACCCGCGGAGTGGTAACAATCTATTCTGTTGAGTTAAAACTCATGGGACACAATAAAAGCTGCCACACAGCAACAGGTCACAATCCAGTACAGCTCTCAACACTCAGCTTCCTTAGTTCAGCATAGCTTTATGCTCTGCTTCTGACACCCCCTTAAAATGAGTTTTAGAGCTGCTTTTGTAGTAGAGAGCCAACGTGAGGAGAAAGGCTGCTGTGATCATGAGGAAGGGAAGTAATTCTACTGCTGATGTTGTGATCGTGGGGGTGGGAGTGCGAATCTGTTGCTGATGCTGTGATGGGGGGGGTCTGCTGCTGTGATGGGGGTCTGCTGCTGATGCTGTGGTGGGGGGTCTGATGCTGTGATGGGGGGTCTGCTGCTGATGCTGTGATGGGGGTCTGCTGCTGATGCTGTGATGGGGGTCTGCTGCTGATGCTGTGAGGAGGGGTCTGCTGTTGATGCTGTGATGGAGAGTCTGATGCTGATGCTGTGATGAGGGGTCTGCTGCTGATGCTGCCATCAAGATGTATAGTTACCTTTAGGTGTTTGATAACAGAAACCTTCAGCAATTACACTTATAATTTTGACACTGTGTGGAAAAATATGCTATAATTATTGCACATTTGCTTATTTGAGAGAAGTCAAGACTCATTTGCCTTGCTTTCATGCAGTGTCCTCTAGGATCATCCCAATGAAACACAGCACAGTCTGTAAACACACTTGAGACCAGATCTGGTGTCTCAGAACCTAAGCTAGTTGTTCAACATCTGATAAGCTGTTACTATAGTATGGCTTGCTAACCAGGGAATTTTTCATTGTTTTTTTTTTTTTCTGCACAACTCAAAACTTAAGTATTTGATAATACTACTATCTTTCTCTGATTACCACATTTAAATGAACACGTATAAAGTATAAACTGAAAGACTGTGTAGCAACTATTAATTGTCATCCTTGAAGGCTACCATTTGGAGGAGTGGAGGATCCATTGTTTTTTCTTTTTGAGATAGTCTTGCTATGAAGGCCATGCTGGCCTTGAACCCTCTTGCCTCAGCCTCCTAACTTCTAGGATTACAGGCATCCACCACCACACTCAGCTTAGAAACCCAGCTTTTCAGACTTTACTAGGACAGAATTAATAGTATGCCCATTGAATGTGCACAATTTAACAGGTTTCAGTATAGATGTATGCTGTCACATGCCCTAAGTAGCCAGGACTTTTAGTCTTTATCTCCTCTACTTTGGACTTATATAAGTGTCTTGCAAAGGCCAGGGAGATGGCTCAGTGGGTACAGTGCTGCTTGTTCAAACATGAAGACCTACATTCAGATTCCCAGCACCCATGCAAAAGCCAGGCACAACCACAGCACTGGAAGGTGGAGACAGATCCCAAGAAGAAGAAGAACGAGGAGGAGGAGGAGGAGGAAGAAGAAGAAGAAGAAGAGGAGTACAACAGAAATACCTTGAGTCAAACTTTGGCCTATGTGGGTACACATGTGGAACTTCTGCACCCACACATATGTGTAGTATGCGGCCTTCTAATCAACTTCTGGCATTTAAAATGATGTGCTCTAGAGTCATCCATGCTATTACTTTTCGGTACTTGATTGCTTTTTAAAGCTAAATGTAACTCTACCATATAGACAGACCATACTATTTACCAATGTGGGCAATAATTAAATATTATTATTAAATATAATACTTAAATATTAATTATTACATATAAAATAATTATTTTAATAATAATAATTATCAGGTGGCCCAAATTCTACCTCACCTATATATACATGTACCCTTTCATAAAAACAGCAATGTATACAGTAACAAGGGCCTGGTCTCCAGGGTCTCCCAGCTGGGACCAACTGAGGCAAGCAAAGGATGCAAGAATGTTATACTGAACAAAGGGACAAGGGAGGGAAAATATAAATAGAAAATCTGAACTGAGGATAAAAGCAGCAAGCATTGTGCCTGAGGCATGGAGGTAGGACAGAGTAGGAACCTACAGGAAGGCAAGTCTCTGAATACAAGTGATCATCTGCTCTCTCCTTCACCACATGGGATGGAGATCCAGCACCGGTTGTCGGGCTTGGCAGCAAAGACACCCTTGAAGTCTTTCGAGAAACCAGCCTTGATGGCCACCGGCAGATGAATGGCTGGAGTTGGATATATACACACAATGGAGTTTTATTCAGTTGTAAAATAAAAATGACTCCGAAAGGCAAACATCTAATGTTTTCCCTCTGATGTAAAACCTTGAGGAGGGAGAGGAAGGAAATGGGGCAACAAAAAAGACAAAATACTGCCATGTGGACTCTAGATTTAATGACATATGTATATATGTGATAAATAACTATTTGGGGAACAACGAGGATCAGCAAGTGGGAAGAATGGAAAAAGGGACAGTGAGTGGTTCTTAAAGCAAGGTGCAGTGACATAATTAGATATATGAAAATGTCATAATGAAACCTTATTTTGCATGTTTTTCTTTTAAAAAAAAATCTTTCTTGTACTGACCTTTAAAAAAAATCTTTCTTGTACTGACCTAAGGTCATCTGTGTCCTTTGCTATACATACCCTGCTGATACTAATTGTCATCCCAGACAGCGTTCTGACAGAAAATAAGGTAAAATCAACAGCAAAATGGATTTGCAGAATCCACCAGTTGAATTTTTTAAAACAACAACTCATCAAAATTAAAGGGAAATAAGGCTACTATAAAATACAACCGACACTGGGACCATCACTGACTCTAAAAGACGGGGCTAAGGCATTAGGCAAGATTAACATGACAGCAGGCTGGCTTTCAGGTCTGTGCGGCTACATGCATTCTAATTTTGAGTACGTAATAAAACCTGATAATACAGTAGGGACAGCACGGTTAGAGAGAGTGGAAATTAGTAATAAATCCAAGTTTATAAAACGGATCGTGATTTCGGGCCGATGGACAGTACAATTAGCGTTACGGTATCTTTCTAGCACCAAAACGCTGGGATTAAGAGACTCTGAGCCCAGGACTGTGCTACATGGTCTCCACCTAGCACCCCTGGGCAAGTCACAGGATTTGTGCAACGTGGGGCGTTAAGAACAAATACAACGAGAGACCAGGCACTGTTCTCCCTGAACACTTCCAGCAACCCTGTCAAGTAGGCAATATTATTACTGCCATTTTGCAGACAAGAAAATAAAACCGCAGACTCAGTCACCCAAGCAGCAGCTAGTCCACGACAGGGCTTTGATTTCAGCAGCCGAGTCACAGATCGGACTTAGGCATAATTCGTGTGTGCACAGAAGCGGGAAACCAGTTCCCAGCAAGCACCGCGACCCAGGTAAGAGAAGACCCACAGGGGCGTGGAGGATGGTGCAGGCGGAGAGCGCGGCACCCACGCGCGCCCGCGGCTACACCGGCTGACAGCCGTGCACCCACACCCAAGCCCTCCTGCACCGCAGCCAAGCGTGGAAACCGCCGCCATGCCGGCCAAACCTCACCTCCTCGCTCCATCGCGAAACTTCCGGGGAGACCGGAAGTGGGACCTACCATCTTTCCAGAGCCGGGGTGGGAAGAACGGAGAAAATGTCTTAAGGAAATTAGCTCCGCGCTCCGACTCTGTCTTCAAAAAAGTCTCACAAATCAAAACCTTAAATAAGTGACTGAATTGGGTCTAGTATTAGTATTTGGGTTCTAGAAGCTGTCTTCCTAGTTTTGGAATAATCCCCCTAGCTTCCTGGATGATAGAAGTTTCCAAGAGCGGCGGATTCCAGAAAGTACTCTGTGGCGTTAAAAAAGTCACACTTGAAAAGAAAATCGCGCACGGTCTGTACTGCGCACGCGCGCGAGATTTTGCGTCCTCTCGCGAAAGGAAGGTGCCTTCTCTGTTCCGGAGTGGTCCCTTGCCGGTTGTTGGGAAGCGCCTGTTCTAGTTCGCCCACCATGGCGTCCGTGGGGACCCTCGCCTTCGATGAGTATGGGCGCCCCTTCCTCATCATCAAGGATCAGGACCGCAAGTCCCGTCTCATGGGGCTTGAGGCCCTCAAGGTAACGGGCCCGCAACGCCAGGCAGCGGGATGTAGGGAGGCGGCCGGAGCGCTCTTCTGCGCCTGCGCTGGCGTAGGAGCGGTTCAGCCATGTGCTGGCCCGAAAGGTCGAGAATCTCCGGTTCCGAGGTGCCTTTGTGGGTTCCGTGTGCACACCCACCCTCTGGGCGCGGGAGAGGTCGTGGAGGCCTCAGCCCAAAGGTGGGGTGGCCCTTCCGAGCCGGGTGGGGCCGCATGCATCAGCTCACCTGGGGAGCCGGCCCGCGGACCCCCAAACGGAAGGTGGAGTCACTGGTGTTGCGGTTGTAAAAGGCATTGCCGTAGACACGGTGCAGTCTCGTAAAGGGAGAAACTTGGTTAGAAGCGTAGAGAAGGGGCACGCGCGCGACATGCCGTGTGCTTTCCGGATGGCTATTTGGAGGATAACAAATGGCAGCGGAGGGAGCTCTTCCAACTTTTGAGAGAAGAAACTGCCGGACACACACACGCACGTGTTTGAAAGGGCCAGAGCGTTGTGTTCAAAGGAGATGATAAATTCTCTTGGGCCAGAAAACACATAATTTTGGAGTGGAAGGAGACAGCTTCAATGGAGCACACACAGTTGGCTGCAACTTATATATCCCCGAAGTTGGAGCTCTTGAGCTCCATCATAGGGGAACAAAGAAGTTGCCCTGAGGAAAGGCGGAGCCGAATTGTTGAGTAGAAAGGAGTGTCCCGTAGAAAGAAAGGAATGAAAAAAGGGGGGGGGCAGGTCCCAGATAAGAAACAATGTCACTGACGGGTGTTGCCACGGAGCCCAGTCTTGGGTTTCACGTGTGCCAGTCATGCCTCCGGGTTTTCTGCCATGCCAAGGACTTGACAAGTGTGTTGGAGTGACCAAAGAAGTGGCCAGAGCAACTGTAGATGCTTGGTTCAGTTTGCTTTCTAGGGGGATTTTTTTTTTCAGGTTGAATGCATTATGTGTTCAGTTCCATTTTTGTCCCCACCTCGGGGTGGGAGGGATTTTACCGATGTAATTAATGTTGACAGTTGTGTTGTGTCAGCCGTGTGTGCTAACTACGTGGACTGTTGCCGTGGTCCATGCTCAGGGCAGGTCTGCTTACAGAATTAGGCGCTTAGGGACAGGGAAATCGCCAAAGATTTCCCAGCTGCTGTGCTAGAGGAGGGCCATGACGTCAGTCTACCTTTAAGTCAAAGCTAGTGGTACAGAGCAGTGAGCTTAGCCTTGGCATTCGGGGCCAGATTAGTAGTAGTAGAGGCTTGTTCTGTGTTCTGTGTTGACCTCGACTCAATAATACATATCCGGGTAGCCAGCCAAAAATAAGCTCAGGTGCCCAGTATCCTTGGGCACCCAGAGAAACATTAACCAGTGATGGTTATTCAAAAAGCCTCTTAGGAATACATACTTGCAAAGTACATTCTAAGAGTCCCCAGAGTTTGCAAAGACAAAATGAACTTGGTGTTTTCTAGTCTGCCACTGGGGGTGAGGAGAGACGTTCATGAACATGTATGTTTGCACCGCTCTGAAAACACCCAAGATTTCTGTGGTTAGAGAAGTGTGCATCCACTTGCACTTCCAGGGTGAGATGAGTTTGGAGAGCCAGGAGTGCTCCAGCGTGCTTTGCTTTCCAGCTTTAGTACTCAGTCCCCAAGAGTCCTTTTCTACCTTGTTGGGGCTTGTGAGTAGAAGGAGAAGTCTTGGAATTCTGTAGGATGATATTGACCTGAATTGGTGGTGGCAAGAATAAAAGAAGATGACATTGAAGGAAATGAGAGCCGAGTGTGTCTGGGGACGGGGAAGGGTCCTTTCAGGCTTGTACCGTGAATATTTTAATAACATTGATATAAATTCTGGTGTGGGGAGATTGTTGTAGTTAACTCCTGAGTTACAAGAATTTCAGTGAAAACAAACAAACCAGACCAGATGTTGCAGTGGAGCTGTGGCTCGCGTTCCTAGAGTGTAGGGATCAAGATCTCAGGCCTATGAGGATGGTAGTATGAATGAGTATTAGGAATCGGGTGTTCTGGGGCAGCACCTTTGAATATTCAGGTTCTTCTGTTTAGGGACATGTAGTTGGCCCTTGATATCATAGAACTTCTGATGAAGGTCACATGACCATAATGCTTAATATGGATAGGGCTTTTACACCTTTTCCTGTGAAGTTCTACATAACCCAGGGTATAGGTATATGTAAAATAGGTATACAGATCAAACAGATCAAAACTGAGACTAAATCATAAAACAACATAGCTCTTAAACAATGTTTGTTATATATGTAACTTTACTGTTTTTATATTAAGTACAGGGCAGATTTGTGTAATAACAAGATGTCTATACTGTGTATTTTTTTATTTTAGGTTTATTTACTTTATATGTATGTGTGAGTACTTTCATGTATGTGTGTGCACTCTGGTGCCTGTGGTGGCCAGAAGAGGGCATCTGATCACCTGGAACTGGAGTGCAGGCTATTGGGAGCTGGGAACTGAACCTGGGTCTTCTGCAAGAGCAAGTGCTCTTGACCACAGCTCTCTCAGCCACTCAGTCAGTGAGCTGAGCTTCCAACCTTACACTAGTATCTGTCACAGCTAAGTTTGGTCTGTCTTCTGTACAAGGATTTCAGGTGGAAGATGAATTGTGGAGCAGTTTAAAACAGCAGTCTCCCAGTCCTGTCTCCACAGGGTCATTGGTACTAAATTCTTAGCCATCATTCAGAACTTTTCTTTTGAAAATAGTATTTGCTAAGAATGTTAGCAGGGGTGGCTCTCCTGTGGGGTTAATGCAGTGTTTCTCTGCTATGGTGAGCTTTGGGGGAAACGGAAGGTGTTAAGTTTACAGTTGGCCTTTCTCTTCTCCTGGTCAGTAATGGAGCCGCCTGCCTCCTCCCATGCTGAGAATGTAAAACACAAAGCACTTGACTCCAAAGCTTATAGTTGTGAACGTTCCTGCTTAAGTCAGACCTCTCTGTTAGTGTGGAAGTGTCTAGTTTTGTTTTTTTTTTCTTTTTAGAAATTCCATCAAGTCTTTTTTCTGTAAACATCAGCTGTATGCCTTTAGTTGTTGAAATGACTTGCAACTTGCTTATTTTTGCCTTTTCTGTTTTATTTAGTCTCACATCATGGCTGCAAAAGCTGTGGCAAACACAATGAGAACGTCACTGGGACCAAACGGTGAGAGAACCATTGATATCATTAATAAAGGTTTGACTTCATAGTACAGTCAGTAACACCTTCAGAAATGCAGTGGGGCAGTTTAGTGTGCTCACAGCTTTGAGATGGGCTTTTCTTCCCTTCATTAGCCTGTTCCAGAGCATGCCTATGTCCTGAGTTAATGCTGTATTCAGTGGTGTTCTGAATGTGGTGGCTGGTCCCTTTTCTTTTGTTTGAGACACTTGGTCTGTTTCCAGTGTGGAGTTTGGATGAGCTGGTAGAAGGCTTTCTTTGGTGGATGTCTTATGTGTGTTGGACTGTTTGTTTCTAATGAATGTCACAGTAAGAATTGCTTGAGATGCTCTCTCTAGGCCTTGGTTACATATCATTTTTCCCAACTTCCTTCTGAACTTTTGTCTTTCAGGGCTGGACAAGATGATGGTAGACAAGGATGGCGATGTCACCGTAACAAACGATGGTGCCACCATTCTCAGCATGATGGATGTTGATCATCAGATTGCCAAGCTAATGGTTGAACTGTCCAAATCCCAAGATGATGAGATTGGAGATGGAACCACAGGAGTGGTTGGTAAGGAAGAAACGACCTTCCTAACTTAAGAGGTTTTTTAAAAAGCATCACAAGAGCCAGTGTTTCTGTATCCAGTCATGAGGACAGTGGGACAGACTGGAGTTGGGGACACATAGCACCTGTGAGCCAGACTGTGGGAAGTGAGTGTTGGGAGAGAGCAGAAAGGCGGCAGGCAGAGACAGGACAGCCTGTAATGTGTCTTTTTTAAGCTGCAAAAGTTGTTGAGATAAATGTGCAAGAGGCAAATTTTGGGGTTGTTGGTTATCATATGGTATTAGTGTTCATTGTCCTTGAACTGCATCACGGTTTTACATCATGGTCTGGTTCTCATGCCAGAACACAGAAGGAAAGTGACAAACCTTGCTTCCTGCACCTAATTCTCAAAGAGTTAATTGGAGGAGAAAACACAGTTATCACGTTTGGTTCTTTTTTGTTGTTGCTGTTGTTTTACTGTTCTTAGCTTTTTTTTTCCTCTGAGATTTGAAATCTTCAGAACGATCCAGAGTTTGAGGGCCAACAAGATGGTTCAGCTAGCCAGTAAAGGTGCTTGCTCACCAGCAAAGCCTAAACACCCAAGCTTGACTTTGGGATCCACATTGTAAAAGGAGAGAGCTGACTCTAGCTGGTCATCCCTCGGCTCCACATCCGCGCATGCTTGTGCAGATACGCAAATCAAAGGAGATGAAAACATATCTGTGGCTAATTTAAGTCAACACTCTTGGAATTGCTGTAGTTTTGTCAACTTACCTGGAATGCAGCAAGGTATACATTAGCAGAACCAAGTTCATTTCTGTACATAAGAGCAGGAGGAGCCAGGTTGGTTAGGGAGCAGGCGCTTGGCAGACCTTCACAGCCAGGGTACCCTCACTCAGCAGAAGTCACTGGCCACAGAAACAAAATTTTCTGCTTTCCAATTAAAATGTTGTTTTTGCATTGTGGCCTACATTTTGTGTATGTTTATTGTGGGGAGGGTCACATGAAGAAAAGAAGACAACTTTAGGACTCAGTTCTCCTACTGTGGGAATTCCGGTGCTGCTGTTATGGCAGGAGGTGCCTTAAACCACAGATCCATCTCACTGCCCCCACAGCCTAAGTTTTTATATCAAATTCATCTTTAAAGGGCAGCCTATTGAACTTTTACTAAGATCAAAACTAAGAGAAATGACTTTCTCCCTTTCAGTCATAACCCTAGGTTCTAAGATTACATTCAGCCCAATTTGGGTGTAGCAATAAGGCTGTAACTTAAATTTTGTAAGTTAAACTAGTTGTCTATTGTTGCTTGCAGTCCTGGCTGGTGCCCTGTTGGAAGAAGCCGAGCAGCTGCTGGACCGAGGCATCCACCCAATCAGAATTGCCGACGGCTATGAACAGGCTGCCCGAATTGCTATAGATCATCTGGACAAGATCAGTGATCGTGTCCTTGTTGACATAAAGAACCCTGAACCCCTCATTCAGACTGCAAAAACCACACTGGGCTCCAAAGTGTATGTGTCCTATCAGTAAAGCGGTATGGTTTGCAAGCCTACTCTTTGGAAGACTGTTCGCCTGTTCTAAAAGGCAGCAGTGTGTTTTGCTTGTTTTCCTGTGTTTTTGTTGGAGGCTGGATTTGCTGGTTAAGTTAGTAATTCACCCTGACTGTTAAGTTGTTCTGACACTTCTTCCCATCACCTCTTCACTAGGAAGTCATTCTGGGGAAGCATATGCACTGCTCTAAAGATGTAATTGGGATGGTTTTAAAATTGACCTTCCTATCTTACAGTTTCTGTCAATATTTCCTAACATCTGCTCTAAAGACTTAAGTGGTCTCAGCCTAGGGAAGTTCCTGTCTGCAGTGGCAGAAACTCCGGTCTGCTGCTATTACATGACATTTAAACCCAGCGAAGGCATAACTACACATGAACTCTTTAGTCACTTGTAGTAGGAATTCACCGTAGCGTTTCATGAGTGTTTCCTTGACTTTGCTCCTGTTTGTCACCTCCTGCTCGATACCACTTTTTTATGTAAATATTCTTCATGTGAGAGAGGATTTGCTGGTGTCTTTATTCCCTTCTTTTTGCCCTCTGATTTCCCACTTAGAACTCTAATTACATTCATTGTGTGTGTGCATGTATAGCTTATGGGGTCTGCTCTCTCCTACCGGGAGGGTCAGCAGGCTGGGGAGCAAGTGCTTTGACTGCTTGAGCCATCTCGCCATTCTTGTAACCCTTTGTTGCATCACTTAGTGAGCAGTGTTTAACGGTGGAGCTGTTGAAGTTTCTGTGTGTCTGGTAGTTTTAGCAGGAGTGGTCTCAGCACAGGCAGCTGCGGGAAATCTGAGCTGTGAAATGTCTAAGGACCGCTCATTCTTTCTGAGAAAGCACAGGAAAGCTGAGCCCCTGCAGTGAAGGGCCAGATGTCCAGAACAGAAATGAAGCTAAAATAATGTAGTTAGTATTCGAGTAGATCACCAAGGATCCTGCTTTCAGATGGACCTGGGCACCACCAGATGGACAATCACTTAGGTCTCAAGACTTGTAAGTAGAATCGGTTCAGATCATAAAGGGTTCATATGGCTCATGGTTACTGTTTTGCCTAGGCCGTTATTATCCCGAGTTGGCTCTGGACTTGGAAAGCAGCACTAATTTTCCTGGGAGTTTTGTTGAGTTGCCTGTGGTGATGGTTTGAGGAATGTGAAAATTGTTTGTTTTCATCAGGGTTAACAGCTGTCATCGACAAATGGCTGAGATCGCTGTGAACGCCGTCCTCACAGTGGCAGATATGGAGCGGAGAGACGTTGACTTTGAGCTCATCAAAGTGGAAGGCAAAGTGGGCGGGAGGCTGGAGGACACCAAACTTATAAAGGGTGTGATCGTGGATAAGGACTTCAGCCACCCACAGATGCCTAAAGTAAGTCAGTGCTCTTACACCTGGGCACTGCTTCTGACTACACCACCACTTAGGGGTCCTTTCTTCCCCACAGCAAGTGAAAGATGCTAAGATTGCGATTCTCACGTGTCCGTTTGAGCCACCGAAGCCAAAGACCAAGCACAAGCTGGATGTGACCTCTGTGGAGGACTACAAAGCCCTGCAGAAGTACGAAAAGGAAAAGTTCGAGGAGATGATTCAGCAGGTGAGTCCTGCGGTGCTCCATGAGAACTAACTGAACCCGTCTGGGGACTTTGTCACATGGTTACAAATAGCATGCAGTGTTGCCTGTGTTCGGTGTCAGCCTGAAACAAACAAATAAGTACAGTAAGAAAAGTTGAATGGCATATTAGGAAAGAAGTCGGCTGTCCTGGACTGCCTTCTGAGCTTGGCGTCCTAGCTGTGCATTTCGTACCAGCTCTCCTGGGCTTGAGTGGAGCAGGCGAGAGCTGTGAAGGACCAGGAATGAAAGCATAGCTTGTTTCCACTGAAAGGTGTATTAACGTTAGAAGGATCTGGTAAAGACACACACGTGTATGTTCCTTCTCGGTGTGTGCTTTCCTCTGATTTTTTTCAGTGCACTGGCTCCACACTGCTGTGCATCTCCCTTGTTTTCAGATCCTGTAACAAGGAACAAATAACTACTTGTTATTAATGAGATTTGTGGCATTTCTTTCCCCAGATTAAAGAAACTGGTGCTAACCTGGCTATTTGCCAGTGGGGCTTTGACGATGAAGCCAATCATTTACTTCTTCAGAATGCCCTCCCTGCTGTTCGCTGGGTAGGAGGACCCGAGATTGAGGTAGGAGGCTATCACTCAGCCTGTGCTGGGTGTGGGGTGAACCTGCAGTGCATGCTGGTATTTGGTGCCACTTGGACAGCACTTGCCTGAAACCACCACACACGAAAAGCAACAACGTAGAGAAAGAGTAGCTGGAATGATGCTAGAGAATCATCTTTATTGAATGACGATGCTTTGTATTTCTGGTGCTGCGTAGTCAACTCTCTGGGCTTCTCTGACTCTTGGGGGCAGGAAAGCCTGGTACTGTACCATCTGTGGTAGCAGAACGGCTCTCTTAAGCCCTGATCTGGACCAGCCTTGCTTCCCTTTTCCTTCTGCGCTTGCTGTGCTGTGGGGGACATGTGGCTGGGTTCACAGACAAGGCCACCCAGACTGTAAGAGACTTTGAGTTGGGAGTTGACAATAGAACTGGGTACACCAGCCCCCAGAGCCTGTTGGTCTGACAAGACGCTTTGCCCGTCTGGTGAACAAGGTGGTCCTGGGTTAGCTGTAGGTCACTGTGGTCCAGCTTTGGAAGTTCACCAGCATTGACCACATCTGTTTCTCTAATAGCTGATCGCCATTGCAACAGGAGGACGAATCGTCCCAAGGTTCTCAGAGCTTACGTCTGAGAAGCTGGGCTTCGCCGGTGTGGTTCGTGAGATCTCATTTGGCACTACAAAAGACAAAATGCTGGTCATTGAGCAGTGTAAGAACTCCAGAGCTGTGACCATTTTCATCAGAGGAGGCAACAAGATGGTGAGAATAATCTGTTGTTGGGCTGGGAAGTGGCTCAGTGGCTCCAGGGTCTTGCTCTGTTCGCGTGAGGCACTGAGGCATGCTCTTCTCCCCAGATCATTGAAGAAGCAAAACGATCCCTCCACGATGCCTTGTGTGTCATCCGGAACCTCATCCGCGACAATCGAGTTGTGTACGGAGGAGGGGCTGCTGAAATATCCTGTGCACTGGCAGTCAGTAAAGAAGCAGATAAGGTAACAGGCAGAGTCACGGTGGGAACTGCTGTGTCTGTGGTTTCAGATGTGTTTTCTATCCTGTAGATAAAGTCACCATGGTTTATTAAGCTTGCCTGAGTAACTTTTCTGGTGTCTACGTGGGTACTGTTGTTGGGTCAGGTGGCTCTTTCCTAGTGCACTCACTGCTCTGTGCCCTTCCAGTGCCCAACTTTGGAGCAGTATGCCATGAGAGCTTTCGCGGATGCCTTGGAGGTCATCCCCATGGCCCTTTCAGAAAACAGTGGCATGAATCCCATCCAGACCATGACTGAAGTCCGAGCCAAACAAGTGAAGGAGTCCAACCCTGCCCTTGGCATTGACTGTCTGCATAAGGGCACCAATGGTGAGCTGCCTGTCGGGTTCTGTGAGTGAGCCCGGTTCCCACTGACTTAGACGATGTACTCTGGCTGTGCCGAGTGGTTCGTGCCACAAGGCCGCCATTGTGAGTTCTTGGTATTAGTTGTTAGACTGCTGTAGGACCTAGTCTTGGTGACACTCATTTGACTGCAGTGCAGCACTGTCTTCCTTCACACCGATGTCTCGCGTTCCTTACACAGTGGTCCCCTCACAGCATACAACCTGGATGTGTGTGGCTGTGGAGTGTTTGGTAGACTTTGGATTCTCTGTAGCAGCCTGGCAGGTCAGCGTTGAAAAGGTGGCATACATTTAGCTTGCTAAACTTTGCTACATTTCTTTACTAATAGACCATGCCTGCATTCCTGCAATGAGTCCAACCACAGAACTTGACAATTTATGAAAGTATTTTGACAGCAGCTCCAGCATCCAGCAGGAAACCAGGGTTCAGTCTACACCTGCATCCAAAACAAAACAGCAGCTCTTGTTCTGACATAAAGTATCTACAGACTCAGCGTTGTAAAGAGTGGATTTCATGCAGTACCTCTGGGTGCTCGGAGGTGTCGTGTCACTGACTAGCTTCCTTGTGGTCATGAGCACTGGCAGTTCTGAAAATGACATAGGGAAAATTGTAGCCAGTTGACCACTACAGCTTTGAGATTTTTCGTTTGGGGTTTTATTTATCTGTTAAGATTTATTAGCCATGCAGTGGTGGTGCACACTTTTAATCCCAGCACTCAAGAGGCCAGCCTAGTCTGCAGAGCGAGTTCCAAGACAGGTCTACACATAAAGAAAATTTTTGGAGATGGGATTTCTATGTGCAGAAGTATTTTGCCTGCATGCATTAAAGTGGTGTCTCTGTCTGTCTGTCTGTCTATGGTATTCTTGAGGACCAAAAATGGGCACTGGATCCCCTGGACCAGGAGTTAATTGGATGGGTGTAAGCATGCTATGCTAGGAATAGAAGTCCACTTGATATTCTTAATCACTGAGCCATCTCCAGCCCCTTTTACCTATATAGTTTTTATTTACTTCATTGTTTGACACTTTGATATTGCTATAGGTAGATGGATACAGATGTAGATACGATGTATTCTGGATACTCTTGCCCCACGCCCTGTTTCCTCCCTTAAGTCCCTTTCCCACATTCCTGCTATTTGTTCTATTTGCGTTTAACCAGGACAATCTCTTCGACAGTTTATAAAACTGTCCATTGGAGCCTGGTGGGCTCACCCATGGGTGCAGTTGAAGGCAAAGATCACCCAAAGTCCACAAGGGGCCGGTAGCTTAGCAGGAAGAGGATGGACCCCATGAGCCTCTCTCTGTCCGTGAACTGACAAATGGCACAGTCTTAAACTGTTGTTGTTTTTGAAATGGAATTTTGCTATGTTGTGCAGGCTGAAGCTCAGCCTGCTCCATAGTTAGGAACACAGACGTGCACCTTGCAGCCTGCTGTTTCTTACGCTCTGCTGTGACTACAGAAATTGAACTGCTTGTTGATGGTGAGTGTGTGCTCTGGGGACCACTGATTGCTGTGTTTGTCTTTCAGATATGCAGCATCAGCATGTCATAGAGACCTTGATCGGCAAAAAGCAGCAGATCTCTCTTGCCACACAGATGGTTAGAATGATTCTGAAGATTGATGACATTCGTAAGCCTGGAGAATCTGAAGAATAAAATGTACCGTCCACACTGTGACTAAATAAAGGGGTGTCGTGCTGCGTCCACAGTTATCACTGGTCCTCTCACAGCCTGTAGATGCTGGAATAAAGGCTGCTGTTTGGTAACTGTCCCCTTGTTCAGAGCTCAGTGCAAGACACAATCTCACAGCTGCTGTGTTCATCGGGTGTCTTAAAGCATCCTTCATCTGCAGAGTTAACCATGTAAGGAAGCAGAAACACACTACAGATGCTGTTTTAGCAGCTTAGCTTTCCTGTTGTCAGGGTTTTGTTTCGCAGTTGATGAGGAGATGAGCTACCCATCAGGAAGCAGAGGGGGCACAGTCCTGACATGATAGTATTTGGGTTACACAAGCACTGTAGGATTGATGAAACCAGTGCTGGAGACTCTTCACATGGCCCCTGTCCAGCGCACTAGGTGCCAGTCAGAACTGGCATGGGCAGTGCTGTGCCTCTAGTATATGCTTTGAGAGCAGCTGAGACACAGGTACCTTTTTGGCTGGTGTAGCATAATGCTTAAGCCTGGGAGGTGAAGGCCAACCCAGGTAACCTGGCATTCACTGTTTCAATGGATCCCATGAGAAACAGAACATTGTTGACATCTGGAGCCTCGTTCCTTGCAGACTTAGACTATGAACTCTGCCCTCTACCTTCACCTATTTAATGGACACTTGCAGCCCAGTCTTGGACATAAAATATCAGTGCTTGAGGAAAGTGTATGACACAGCAGGATGCTAGCTAGTCTTGCCATTTTCTGTCAAAGAAAAAGGCCTGGAAGCTATGGTTCCGGCTAAAAGTTGCTGCCTTGGATCCATGTGGTGGGAAGACTGCCATGGGTTATCCTCTGACCTCCGCACGTAGTGGCACATATACACAAGTTTTTGTTTAAAAGTGAAGCTAAAAATTCGTCAAGTTTAAAAAAGTCAGTTCATTAGGTTGAATAATTGGGCCTGTGGGAAGGGAATCCACACTGCTCACACTGAAGTGCATATGGGAGGTATTGGGCTTCCCCAAAGCCCATAGCACCAGGGAGGGTTAACCCACCTAGTTGGTGACTTGTGATCTTTCTGGCTTTGCACATGAATTGTTTAACAGAGTGTTCAATTAACAATGTAAGGCCATGTCTGAAAACATAGCTGCTCCCTGAATGAACCCAGATTCCCCCTAATAACTACAGTTACACCATCATTTGAGTTCTTCAGGTACCGAGCATTTATTAAAAATTTCTATTGTGCCAGGCAGAGGCAGGCGGACCTCCGTGATTTCAAGGCCAGGCTGGTCTAAAAGACCAGGAAAGGCTCCAAAGCTACAAAGAGAAACCCTGTCTCAGAGAGGAAAAAAAAAATTCTATTGCATACTAAGTACTTTTTAGTTTCTTTTGTATTTGTGTTTCAGAAGAATTTTAAGATCCCTATATTTTATGTAAAGTAAGAAATCAGATGGCTAATTATTCCCAGGAAAATCTGAATGACAGCTGCCCTGTGCTTGAGCACTGTTACATGTACTTGTTCAGCCACTCAATGAGATTCCTCCTCGCCTCCTCAATGTAGGGCTTGTCAGCAGGGGAACAGTCTTCTCTCTTCCGATGCACAAAGCCATGAGTTTGCCCAGAAAATGTTTTAACTTGGTAATTAACTATACAGTGTGTTTTCAGTTTCTTAGTCAGCACGGAGACCTAATGCACAAAAAGAAAAAAGATGAGATGGTGTGACTTTAACCCTGAGCTGACACGCTTTGCATGGTAAACAGGGTCCCCGGCTGCTGAATTGACTCACGGTTCCTAGCCTCTGTCAGGAGTTGCAGAGCAGGGTAAGGCTGGTGGCACACCAGTTAACAGAAGCTCCTACTTTATGCCTGGGGCTGAGACCCAACAAATCAAAAGTGCACTGGGCTTGGTGGTGGACATTCTTAGCCCTAGCGGAGAGGCAGAGGCAGGCAGATATCTGCCTGAGGCCAGCCTGGTCTCTGTCATGAGACCTTAGTCTAAAAAGGATTGATGCATGTATCAAGCCTGCTGGGTGCAGTCCCCTACACCACCAGGCAGGACGGGCATTCGGTACAACTGCCCTACTGACAGTCTAGCATAGCAAAGCACAATGAGACTATTGCTGGTTTCCATAGTGACCATGGGGCTGTTGGGAAGATGTTCTTTATCAACGTCATGAGACATATAGGAGTAGCCTCGGCCAGGAAAAGAGCCAAAGTTGGCCTTCCGTGTGTCTCTTTCACACTAGAGTAAAATTAAACCAACTGATCTGAAGCTGAGGACTGTTGAAGAGTGATTTACAAATGACTGCTTTAACTTAGACTTTCCTTATCAACTTCCTGGGCTTAATCTTGTTATATGGTAACCAGTGGGCGACTGTGGGGACCTTTCCTTGAGCTCTCGCTCTGAACAGACCCAGTCTGGGCTCAAGTTCCAGTCTTTAGTAAGTTTTCATCATTGGAAACAGTTACAATGATAAATGCGTTCTTTGGAACTTACTCTAAAAGTGTCAGGGTACGCTATGAAGGCTGCCCACTCACCTGCTCAAGTGGGATCACAGCATCATTTTCCGCAAAAATGAACAGCGTCGGGTTTTTCAGATTATAAACATCTTCACTGTCTTTGATGATGCCTGAAGAGAGTTGAGGGAGATTGACTGCCACAGAAACCTGCCCCAATTTGGTGTGGTTTTTACAAAGAAAAGCATGTATTAAGAGATTTCCAGCCGGGCAGTGTTGGCACATGCCTTTAATCCCGGCAGAGGTAGGCTGATCTCTGAGTTTGAGGCTGCCTGGTCTACAGAGCAAGTGCCAGAACAGGTCCAAAGCTACACAAAGAAACCCTGTCTTTAAAAAAATTTGTGTGGTGGGGGAAGTGGACATGTGCGTGTGTGTCTGTGCATGTGTGTATGCAGTGTCGCTCTGTGCACGTCCACATGGGGTCTTCTGCATGTATGCAGTGTTGCTCTCCGTCCTACTTTTTGCTGCAGGGTCTCATTGACCTAGAGCTCAAAGGTTTCTAGACTGACCAGTGGTCTTGAGGAACCTGTCCAGTGTGGGGGTGAGGGACCGTCCCCCCAGCAGATTTTTATGCAGCTGCCAGGGATCTGGACTCCGGTTTTATGGATATGCCGTCAGTACTCCCCACCTTAACCATTTCCCCAGCCCTTGGTTTATTTCCACAGGAGCCTGACCTATGAACTGGGAAAGTGCAGCTGACTAGCCAAATCTCTATACTGTTCGTACTCTGTGCCTTGTTCACCAGGAACCAAACTGCTGTGGGCTGCTTGGTATCCGAGGACGGCAATCTGAGAGGTGCTCCCTCGACATGGCTGTTAAAGTCGGTCATAATTTTCAAACCATTGCCCTAGAAGTTTCTATACAGGCCCCACTTGCTCTGGTTTCAATGAACTAGACAGTTTTATTCATAAGAACAACAGCCTTGAAGCAGGATATTAATCCAACAAGACCCTGATGCTCCTCAGGCCATTGTGTGACATTCCTTGTCCATCCTTGTCTTCGCTCTTTAAAGGTTAAGTGCAAAGTATTGACGCTGCCAGGCCCAGGCAGCCCCCCCTCCAGGTGTGTTTGCTAAGGCCTGAGTTTGATCCCAGAATCCGCATAAAGTTGTCTGACTTCCACACAGGCGTTGCACGCAGGTCCCAAAACACTGCACACAAACACGATCATGATTTTAAAAGGTGCGAGAAAAACAACTCCTTGCTTCCTGCCAGGGTGACAACACACAGCATCTCTTTTCCCCATTACTCCTCTCCAGAAGGCAGCAAACCACAGGAGGATGGCCAAGCTCCCTGCCCAACTCGGGCAAAGCCACATCATGGATCTGGACATTAGTGGATGTCTCCTGCCCAATTCCTGCCATAACCTTCCACTGACAACAGTAATCAGCAGGTGGCGCCAGAGAGACGTGCACCCAGAAGCAACCTTTCAATTCACTATGCACACTCTTGGCCTGGTGTATGAGGCCAACTGGTGATTTATTAAATTTGTTTTGTTAGTTGAGAATGGCTCTCACTATACAGCTCATGCTGGCCAGAAATTTCCAATCCTGCTTCAGTCTCCCAAAGACTGGATTACAAATGTGTGCGCCAATGCCTAACTATAGTTCTTTTGTGTAAGGAAATATTTTAGTGGTTTATTTTGGTGCTAGTAGTAGATGAAGTGCCAAGTCGAGGAACTCATTTGCTATATAAGAACTGTTTGTGCATGTGTAACTTTTTGAATAGCAGTCATCTTTCTTCCATTATTTTTGACATATTTTAGTCTGGATGCTCTTAAATTGTGCATTCACTGTGTTGCTTCTGCCAACAGATACAGAGTTTTTATATCATGGTTAGAATAACTTTGTTTTCTTTTGGCTAAAATGTAAAAGTTGGAGTGGGATAAATGGCTCGGCAGTCACTGGCTGCACCTCCAGAGGACCCCACATTCAATCCCTAGTGCCCCATGGTGCCTCACAACCATCTGTCACTAGAGGGGATCAGACAACCTTCTGGCCTCCATGGGTACCAGGCACAAACAGACATGTACGTAACATGCCCATACAAATTTTTTTAATTTGCTAATTTTTAAAAATGTGAAGCCGGGCAGTAGTGGCACATGCCTTTAATTCCAGTACTTGGGAGGCAGAGGCAGGCAGATCTCTGTGAGTTTGACGCCAGCCTGGTCTACAAGAGCTAGTTCCAGAACAGGCTCATAAGCTACAGAGAAACCCTGCCTCGGAAAACCAAAAAAAAAGGGGGTGGGGGGGATTAAGTTGCTGTTTGTACTTTAAAGTGGACTTTGCTTTTTTTTGTGGGTGTGTGTGCACGCATATACACAATTGCATGCACTTGCATTTGCTGGTGCATAGGTGCACGTGACTGGGAGTCAAGTGGAACCCTGGATGTGTTCCTGGGAAGCCTTTCCACCTAGATTTTCAAGACAGGATCTAGAACTTACTGAGTAGGCTAGGCAAAGTACCCAGTAAGCCAAAATATCACCTGTCTCTGCCTCCCTTAACATAGGTTCTGGGGACCAAATTCAGGAACTCTTTTGCAGGACAAGAACTATACGGACTGAGCCACCTACCCAATTCTGCTTTCAAATCCAGAAAACCACACCAAGCTGGTTTACCTCACGCCTTTGTGTTTTGTACTGCAGTATGTGGGAGAGGCCCGTCATTCAGCCACCCTCCTTTCACTGAGTAAAATGCACTGGGCACTTACCATAAACAGACACCCCCGCCCTGACTTCTGGGTATGTCAGCATCACGTGGTGCACAACGACACCCCCCCAGCAGAAGCCTACAATGCCAATCTTCTGGGCGTGACACTCTTGTTTCAGATACCTCATGACAGCCTCAACCTCTCTAGAACAGAAAGAAAAGGCGTTGGAAAGAGAGGGCTGATTCAGGAGCCTTCAGGGTTTGGTGACCGGAATGCCTCAGTGGTGAGAACAAGAATTCCTAGAAAGAAGCTGTAGCTGCGAGGCTGACAGTTTGCTTAAAATAAGAGTGTAAGCAGCTGTGGAGAGTGGGAGGTCACAGGCCTAGAGCCTAATTACAACGTATCCTGATTTCTTGCCCACCTCTGCTGACACTACGGCCTGTAATAAACAGGTAAAGCTGAGCCTAGCATACTGATAAACAGATTAAAAACCTTTGGAATGTATCAACTCAATAAAACCCAATTCTCCACCAATCAAAGAGCTAAGAATACTATAAGATAGCATCTGGGTCCTACAGCCGAGATTTCTTTATTCTGCTGTAGCCACCTAATTAATGTTTTCACCAATGTTTTTTTAAAGTGTCTTGATTTAGAATTTATCTTTGTTCTGTTACTATAAAACCTTTGCAACGCTGCTTCCATAGTAGAATGTGAAAATTGGGGTAAACCAAATCTCTGGTTGCGAGTAGTCTGTGGCTTATACCTGACCGACCAGAGAAGAGCAGTCTCTCCTGGTCTGAATGATGGGTTTGCAGGATGCAGAACCGGTCATAACCAGGGTGTGGGGGAGAGGACATGGTGCTCTCCGGGTTGCTGGAGAGAGGCTATGGAAGACTGGTCTGCCTCTGAAGTGAGTACATGAGGGTGAAGCCAGCACACAAGAAGTGAGACTGAGCAGCCAGGGAAGAATGAGAGTTGGGGATACCTTTACACTATGAGCCAATTGCTACTTGAGCCCTGAGCTAATTTCCTTGGTTCTATAAACAGTAGCTCTTTGAGCTGCTGATCCACCTGGGATAAGTGTTCTAATGCTCACTAACAAACACCTATGTGGACGCCCGACTGAACTCATCCCTTGTAAGGTTGGTGAGCAGCTATGCTTGCTGGGGCAGTGGGGCCAGGAGAGCGTATCAGCCTCCATCCACAGCTCCCTTGTAAGGTTGGTGAGCAGCTATGCTTGCTGGGGCAGTGGGGCCGGGAGTGCGTATCAGCCTCCACCCACAGCTCATTGTGTGCTGCTGGAAGAAGGGCCAAACGATGCTCTACCCCACAGGGAGGGAGGGAGGAAGTCTGGTGTAGCCCAGCTCCTCCTTGGGCCGTGTCACATACAAAATCAAGCCTGTTGATAACGTACCGATTGACTTCTCTGGCATTTCTTGATTTTATCCACTCAGGGAAGGTGGACCAGTCATCGGCTGGGTCCCATGGTTCTCGCCCCACAAAGAAGTCTGGGACAATGGTTCTGTAAAATACGGACATTAATAAGCCTTTGATCACGTCGACTCAATGTTTGTCCAGGCTTATTAAGGTTGCCTTAATTAGTGCCCTAGTAGGCTGTCAATCCCAGGCAGAGGGGAAAAAAAGACCTGGGTCGTGAAGGCCACCCTTAAGTACATCAAAGGTCATCTAGAGCCAGGCCAGATTGCCTCAGACTCCACAACCGCAGGTACACAGGCTTCCAGCAGCTTGGGTGTGATCCTGCCCTAGCAAGTGAGCCAGCCGCCAGCAGGGACTTCTCAAGAGCTATTCGGGTACAGAAGGAAACCTGGACTGGTGGGCCAGGGTATGTACCCTCGGATACCCTTCCTTCCTCCGTGAAGTTAGCTTTTCTCAGCCAGCCCAGGACTATCCTGGCCTTGAACACTGGCTTGGGCCAAAGGTCATCCCTGAGAAATATGACTAGTCACCGTGATCAAGTAATGTGCCCCACCCCCACCCCGGCCTCTGCACAGGCTACCAGTTTCCTGCTCCAAGAATAAGGTCCACAGCAGGTTCTAGAACAGGTCAGAGAAAAAGTAAACAAGCAAAGGGAAAACTAACAGAGGTTGCCCTCTACCCTCTATTTACACTCTGTGGTAAGCACGAACCCTCACTCATATACACATGTATTCAGCGTACATATGCACAAATCATAGAGAGGATCAAATGACTGAGAACCCAGCACAGGTAACTGGCACAGTTTGGAAACCATGGATATTACAGAGAGAAGAGACGGGATTGCACACTGGAGTCCCTGCCGTTCTAGAAGCCAACTCAGGAGGGATGGAGCCGGGGCCGCAGTCTCCCAATGTAAAGAGTTAGCTGTGGCCAGAAAGGTCAGGTTCACATCTCAGCACCCCGCCCCCGTCCTGTAGTGAGACCTTGACAAATCCCTGACCACGTTCAGCCCTCACATTCTTTATGATCCATTTGTATGTGTATGAATGCTTGTTTGCATGTGTTATGTACATGCCTGTTGCCTGCAGAGGCCAGAAGAAGGTGTCAGATCCCCTGTAACAGTTATGGACACCTGTGAGCTGCCATGTGTGTCCTCAGAACCAAACCTGAGTTTTCTATCAAGTCATGAAGAACTTTTAACCACTGAGCCCTCTCTCCAGTCCCTAAGCCTCACATTCTTGACCAAACAGACAGAATTGTGCACTGCCCAGCCCCAAATTGCTTGAGGGTGAATAAGTAAGAGGGTCAGGGCCTTCTAAACCCTAATCCCATTCATTCAGCTGCTTACAGTTCACCCAGAGCAACTAAGAGCCTCTGTCTTCGTGCCTGGACTTCCCAATCTGCAAGATGGGGAAGGTACTATCCCTCCCGCCCAGGATGGCTGCAGGGGTTAGGGTCCCCATCTACATGGGCTTTAGAGGTTTATTTAGAGGCTTCCCCCACCCTCCTCAAGGTCATCTCTTCATCCCTCTGTTGGTTTGTTTCATTTGTTTCGAAGCTCAATGGGGTAAAGAAGACAGACTCACCCTGGACTTCCAACTTTCTGGAGACTATGAACCCAAGTTACGAGAAAAGAAGCCACCTCACCTGTACAAAAGGGAGCGCGCTAGGCTAGTGCACTGATTGGAGCTTCACCACTGTGGAGAATTCGGGGTGCTGCAGGTCCAGAGCCCGGGTCCCCTGGGTGTCTTCAGCCCTCCTCATCTACCCATCACCGTCTCCGTCTGACCTAACACCCGTGTGACTGTCAGCTAAATCACCTTGGAATGCAGTCACCGGGCAGTAGCATCCACCGACACAAGCGCTAAGCGCATCACCAGCTATCACGTGACACCGCAGCAGCAGGCTTTGTAGAACTCACTACCTGATATTTCCACACACTTTAAAAGTGCCTTGACCTGTGACTTTCTTTTGTTCTGGGTCACCTTCCAAGGAGACCTGTGAAACCCACCCTGAGGCTCAGGTGCTTGAGTGTGCACCGGTGTGCTGGCCTGTGCCTGGGTCGAACCCTTTATGGGGACCCTCTGTCCAGCATGTCTGTAGGGTCAGGTACCACTGGGGACCTGATGCCCAGGGATTCTGTTGGGAAGACTTGGCTCATCAAGTCAGTGTTAGATTTCAAAGGACAGTTCCCAGTTCCCATGACTGAGCTAAGGAAACAGATAATGTAAAGAGAATACAGCTCAGGCTGTGTTAGGCTTTTGAGTTTGTCTTTCTGAAGGGAACAAAGTGGACCACAGAGATTCACATGAATTTAAGGAAAGAACAGAACTTTGTACGTACGTGTATCCATTCCCAGCAATCATGTCGGCCATATACCGGGTGTTGGGCAGCTGCCAGCCAAATATATCCTGAACGACAATCACAGCTTTGCCTGCATCCACAGGGGACTTGGTGATGTACGCCTTGAAGTGCTCAATCTGAACTTCCTGGCCCATGCCACCATACTCCAGCTTGTGACCAATGTCACATGGGCAGGGGTTAGCTTCATTAGCCATTGGGGTCTGGATGCCAGGCTACAGAGGAAATAAAATATGCATTACATGCTGACTGGTACAGATCTAAAGATAATCTATACTGCATAAATTATCATCAAAATTACTAGAAAAACATCTAGCTCCTGCATGACATTTATTCTGAAATAACTTGGTGGTGTGTTGGTTGATGTCGACTGTGAACTTGACTGGATTAGGAGACACCTAGGGGTTCAGTGAACCGGCCATCTCCAGAGACAATTAGATCATGGTATTAGGACCGTTTAACAGATTGGTCCCTCGATGGTTTTGTATCAGGATATACACGGGTGATGCCTTCATGAAGCATTGGCCAGGACAGTCTTTTCAAACGGATATGAACAAACTTCCCCTATAGTAACTTTGGTATAAATCTCCACAAATATTTTATGTAAATGTTACAAGTGTGATGAAAGACCAAACTGGAAACATAACTCACTTGCTAGAGCACTCATCTGAAGAAGGACGCTTAAAAGAAATCCCACACTAGCTCAGAACTGATAATAATTGAGGGTTATTTATTTAGGGGTAGACTCACAAGTCAGAATCCTCTGCTGGAATGGAGAACAGCAACCAAATCCCACAGCCGGAAAATGAGTCCAGATGTGCTTTACTTCGGCATAAATAGCATAAGAGGCCACGCCCGAGTGGGCGGGTAACTTAAAGGCTACTGGCTATAGGATTTCCTACAGCACCATCTAGAGTGCATGGAACCCACAGTTAGATCCCTATCATAAGCCAAGTGTGGTGCGCACTTGGAAACCAGCGAAGTCAGGCAAGCACGGGGAATAACAATTTAGGACTTCATTGAGTTGAGATAGGCACACACCTCTCTTCTGATAACACACCTAACAGCCTGGAAACTTTCCCTGTCCATATGTGCACACATACGCACTCCGAACAATGCACATAGCAACCTAGACTCCCCCTGGCATCAAGCTGTGTGCAGAGCCCCTCAGAACAATGGAATAAGTTTCTCCTCTCCTTAAGTCTCCATACTTAGATTCTATTCAGTCATACTCCAGCTATGTTACAGTAGGAAGGGCTGGGCTGGTTTCAACTGGTTTGGGGGGGTAGCACTTGCAGTAAGGCACACTCTTCTTATCTTCTAACTGAACTCTTAGGAAGAGTCCTCGGTTTGCCATCTTGTGCCTAATCGTTGCTGGGCATACATATGATTAAAATCGGGTGCATTGTGGGAAGAGCTGTGCACAATAAAGAAAAGACTACAGAGCCTAAAAACTGAAGTAGAGAGCCACACAGAGAAAGAAAGAAAAAGGAAGGTCCAGGCATAGTGGTACACGCCTTGAATCCCAGCACTTGGGAGTTAGGTGCAGGAGGATCTCTTCCAGTTCAAGGACGGCCTTACATAGTTCAGGACGGTCAGAGGATCATAAGACCCTGCCTTAAAACAAACACAAAATCATCCCCCTTGACTAAACACTCCCTCCTCTCAAACTCTACAAAAAGAAGGCCCACGCCATGATCAGAGTTGTCAGGTGCTTTCTCAACCCTGTACCCTACTCCCATTCTTGATGGAGGAGCCAACCTGTCCTATTGTTTTGTATTAAATAACATTGCAGATTTGTGCAAACCTTTATTTCAATTCCTTAAATAAGAGACAGACAGCCTGAACATGCCTGGTCCAGACCCTGAGCAGTTACCCTGGCTGGTAACTGGACCAGCATTTAGGAGGTAGTGGCAGAAGGATGAGATGTTTAAGGTTATTCTCAGCCACATAACAGATCATGTGCTAGAGACCATGTCTCAAAACTAACTAGCTAAATATAACAAGAGCATAATAAAAACTCAAAGGGTTTAGAAATCAGCTACAATGGAAGCCGTACATACTTAGGTCAGTAAGTCAGTACATTGCACTGCAGAGAACTGTCCAGTCACACGGCAAGTATTCAGGGGGACAGAGTGAAAATGAGCTCGGCCCCAAGGAGACACACAAAATGAGGCCCCTTAGGCTGCTGTCACAAAATACAACAACTCAAAAGAAATGGCACGGTCCTAAAGACTGAGGGCCAAGAAGCCCATGGTCAAAGTGGCAGTCACTCTGTTATCTGTGGCAGGCACTCTTTCTGACCACAGACATCAGCTCCCCCCTGTGTCCTCACATGGTAGGAGCAGACAGACAGTTCTCTGGAGTCTCTTAGGAGAGTGCTCATAAAATCCCAAGAGGAGCTGGGCCCTTGTGACCTTTTCCTCTCCCACAGACTCCTCCTCCTGATAGCACTGTCTTCAGGATTACATTTCTGTATAATTACTTTGGGAAGCTCATGTACATTCAGATCTAACAAATCCTTCAAAGAGATAAACAACAGAAGAAATGAAAATATTAAATCCTGAATCTTTGAAGAGTTCTAAACCAGGCTCATACAGAGCCAAGATGTGAGTGATAGAAAAAGAGAGAGGGGGAGAGGAAGAGAGGGAGAAGGGGGAAGAGGGAGAGAGAGAGGAATAAGCACGGAAGGAAGCGTGGGTGGTGCTCAGAGGAGCAGTGGAAAGGAAGTCAAAAACAAATCTAAAAAATAAAATGTAAAAGGTGTTCGCACCTGAAGAATGTCCCCCAAGGCTATCTTAGGCCTCTCCATGCATGTATACTCATACACCTGTACATGTGAACACACAGACACACACATGCACAAAGAAATAAAACATAAACCATCTGGAATTAGTGGTGAAATTCCAGGGAACCAAGGAGGAGTAAAACATACAGGAGGTGTCCCAAGGTCAACTGTGGGAGAGCAGAGTTACTTCATTTGCTCACAGAACTATGGAGAGGTGGGAATGGGGTAAGGTGGACAACAAGACACTGTCCTAGACACCCCAAGCCTTGTTTGTCCACTAAGGTGTCAGGTGCACAGAAAGGCACAGCGGGGTTCTGTAGGATCAACCCAGAGGCCAACAAGACACAGTCAGTTCACATGAGAAGGACAGACTGGCCAGGGAAGGAACAACAGAAGTCACATGGAGTGGCCCAGCTGAGAAAACAAGTCACAGGGACCCCCTCACTGCACAGCACAGATCTCATCCCAAGACTCGGAATCCAAGGATTCAGATGCAGAATTAGTCTGTTCCATGCACATGCAGGAGACATCTTTCCTAACGTTGGACTAAGACCTGATTTCTTAAATGCGACCTCAAAATCATACTATCATCAAGGAAAAAGATTAGCAAATTTCAGTTAACTTTAACTAACTGCTAAGGAATGTTAAGAAAAAAGTGGGACTGGTGCTGTGGGACCATGGTCTGTACCCTGTCACTTGTATTTTAAATAAACACTGATTGGCCAGTAGTCAGGCAGGAAGTAAAGGCGGGCCAACCAGGCAGGACGTAGAGGTGGGGCAATGAGAATTCTGGGAAGAGGGAAGATTCAGTCTGCAGTTGTCACCCAGATACAGAGGAAGCCAGACACAGAGCAAGCAAGATGTGACTGCCTTGCCAAAAAAGGTACCAAGTCACATGGCTAACATAGACAAGTATTATGGGCTAATATAAGTTATAAGAGTTAATAAGAAGCCTGAGTTACTAGGCCAATCCATTTATAATTAATCAATGTAGACCTCTGTGTGTTTATTTGGGGACTAAATGGCTATGGGACCTTATGGGACAGAAACCTCAGTCAACAGACTGTAGAGATGATCCAGTGCCTAAAAGCACTGACTGTTCTTGCAGAGGACCTAAATTCAGTTCCCAGGACTCAGGTTAGGTGACCTGGAACTCCAATTCCAGGAGCTCTGAGGCCCTCTGGCCCTTGAGACACCAATATGCATGCAGTGCACATAAACTTACACAGGCACACACACACACACACACACACACACACACACACACACACACACACAGATATAGTGAATCATTTTTTTTAAGGAAAAAAACAAGCTGGGTGCACACCTTTAACCCCAGCACTTGGAAGGCAGAGGCAGACAGATCTCTGTTAATCTGAGGCCAGCCTGGTCTATAGAGCAAGTTCCCGGTCAGGGCTACACACAGAGAAACGTTGTCTCAAAAACAAAACAACAAAACAAAAACAAAAAATAACTAAAACTACAGAAAACTGAATGTTAGGTAGCTATGTAAAGATGTGAATGCCTGCAGCTGTGAGGGTGAGGGAGGGTACTGAGGCAGCAGGGCAGGAGCCTATCTTCCAGAGACAGATGAAGACATCTGGGACCTTATTTCCCTGTGTGGGGGAGGAGGGGAGAGCGCCTCTGCTTCATCAGAGTCTTCAATGAGTTGTGAGTTCAAGGTTGCCCTAGTCTCTCTAGTTAGATAGTACAAGTTTCCAAATGTTCACTATAGAGAAGACAATAAAGTTACTAAGAAATAATTAGGATAAATGATAAGATTAAAAGGCAAAGGGTGTGGTGATGCATACCTTTAATCCCAGTACTCAGGAGATACAAATGATCAGTGCTCTTGAGCATGTATATATTAAAAGGTGCTGAGCAGTGGTGGTGCACACCTTTAATCCCAATACTCGGGAGGTAGAGGCAGGCAGATCTCTGTGAGTTCAAGGCTAGAAGGCTAGCCTGGTCTACAAGAACTAGTTACTAGTTCCAGGACAGCTGGTGCTGTTACACAGAGACACCCTGTCTCGAAATCAACAAAAAAATATTAAAAGACTCCATAAAAAGCCAGATATTTCATACAAGGAAAAGAAACAACATAGACTAGATGTGTGTCCTGTGTCCTGGAGAAAGTCAGAGGGAGGTTTGCACACACATTAGTGAAGAAGCAACATTCTTTTTGTTATTGTTGTAGTATAAGACAGGGTTTCTCTGTGTAACAGCTCTGGCTGTCCTGGAACTTGCTTTATAGACTAGGCTGGCCTTGAACTCACAGGACAGATCTCAGTGAGTTCGAGGCCAGCCTGGTCTACATGGAGAGTTCTAGGACAAGCAGAGCTACATAGTGAGACTGTCTCAAAAAAACACAGTCGCATAATAGGGTTGTGGGGAGGTAATATTGGTCTAGATCCATGGTTCTTAACCATCCTAATGAGTCAGGAAAAGTCCGCCCTATACATTGCTCTGGGCAGAGGAGGAATCTTCCAAGCAAGACAAAAGTAAGCAAGAAAGTGGGCTGAGCAAGGCAAGAGGAGAGAGCTGGTAGACAGCATTCCTCCATGCCCCTGCTTCAGTTCTTGCTTCCAGGTTCCTACATTGAGTTCCTGCCTCGATTTCCCTCAGCATTGAATGGTGATGTGACGGCATAAGCCAAACAAACCCTTTGCTCCGCAGCTATCTTTTGGTCATGGTGTTTGATCACAGCAACAGGAAACAAAGTAGGACACAGGAGGTTTACAAGTTGGCTTGGAAGCCAGCCTGAGTGAGAGACCCTATCTCAAAACAAAAGAAGAAAAAGAAGGAAGGAATTGGTTCGATGAGCTGCTTTCTTACCTGTGCTCGGCTGTGAGGACCCAGGAGAGTCTAGCCTCTCCAAGCCACTGGTAACAGGCTCTTTTTGACTTGAGCTCCAATTACAAAAGGAATTTTTACATCCAGGAGTGCCAAGTTTTTTCTCCCACAGAATGGGGTAGAGCCAACATAAGCCCAAGAATGCCACATGTGGAAGGCTGGAGTCCTGCCCGGCTCTTTCACATTGTCTCAACTCCCGAGCCCAGCCTGTGAAGCAGGAGCCAAGTGTACTCTAAACAGAGCAGGCAGCTTCTACCCACGGTCTGGCCTGTTGGGGTCCAGGCTAAGAATCGGGAAGGTGTGCTTGATCCTTGGCAGCCCATGTTTTCTGGGTCTGTCTGAAGGATTTTTGGTTTTGCCCATGACACATTTTCTAAAAGACAGAGTTCAGTATAAAGTAAAGGTCTCACTCCCATACAGACATAAAAACTAGACTCACTCATGGCCAGTGAGACTAGCTAGTCTCCAGAATCAAAGGATCTGGGTGGGGACAAACCACAGGACTCCGGGCTTCTGAGCTCAAGGGCAGCACAAAGTACTTCACAGTTTTATTACTAAAGTAAAAAGAAAAAAAAAACCCACACACAAGGTGACCTTTACAGTTAGTTTAAGTAAGATAATGCACCTGGTGCTATACCTTATCATCTTTGGTCCTGTGAAAAGAGCCAGGAATATTTCCCCCAGGCCTTTACCACAGAGATACTGTGGACGTGCCAGGGCATTCCTTCATTCCTTGCTTGCGGATACATTCACTTGTGATCGTTTATGCAATTTTTTCTAGAAGGCCACGTTGTGTGAAGAACATTCTGCACTCTGTCCCATCCTTAGCTCACAGTAAGTTCTCACCTGGGGTGATGGGAGAGAAAGGGGAGATGCTCTAACTGGCTGGAGTGCGTGTCCCTCCATTAAGGTGGGATGAAGTTCACAGCTTTCTTCCCAAGGAAGGGAGGAAGGAGATTAATTATGTAACAAGGAGGATGTAATTTAGAAATTTATCAGTCTATCAGTTACCCATTATCTAAAATTGCAAAATGACTCAGATACACAGAATAGGGCTGGACTCCAAAGAGCCAGAGAGTGAGCCAAAAAGGAAAGACATTTTGTACTGAAGCATGGTCTGTTCTGCATGAGAGCGGGAGGGTTCCTGTACCTCCCAAAGAAGGATAGGCTCATTAACTGTGTGTTTGAGGACACACCCTTAGATCAGGCCTATAGTTGCCACTGGCAGAGCCTCCAGAACTCACCAGGAAATAGTAGGACATTCCCTAGGGAGGACGTTCTGATGATTACATCTATGGCCAGAACTACAGTGGCTAGCAGTACAAAGTACTGACTTTCCCCAAAAACATTCACGGAAGGTACTGCAAACGTATAAATCTCTTGCAGCAGGACATTTGTTGCCCCTTCAAACCTGCCTCCCACAGGCAAATTCCTCTGTAAATTACCAGCCCAAAGACAAGGTGGACTGGGTGTATCACTCAGCTGGTGGAGTGCTTGTCTGGGAAGCACGGAGCCCTGGCTCCAATCCCCAGATCTCCCAAAATACAGCATGGTGGCCCAGACCTGTAATCTGAGCACTGTGCAGATGGAGAGCGAGAAGTTCGGGGTTGTCCTTTGCTACTTCGGGAACTTGAGGCCAGCCTAGGCTAGTGACCCTGTCTTTAAAAAAAAAAAAAGTCACTTGTGGTTTTGAATGCCAGTGGGATTTGCTGAAGGAGGCAAGGACAGGAGTTTGAGGCCAGCCTGGGCTACTCATTTAGCTGGGCAGTTCTGGCACACGTCTTTAATCCCAGCATTCTGGAGGCAGGGGCCGGCAGATCTCTGTGAGTCTGAGGCCAGCCTAGTCTACAGAGTGAGTTACAGGACAGTCAGGGCTATACAGAGAAACCCTGTCTTGAAAAATAAGATAGAGAGAGAAAGCAATAGATGAATGATAGGTAGGTAGATAGATAGATAGATAGGAAAAAACTCAAAGAGGATTCCTGCTGTAGGTGTGATATGCAAATTTCAAGGGCTTCTTCAGCCCATCCAAGAGTTCCCCCATCCCTACAAGGGCTTTATCTTCCCTACAAGAGCCTCCTCATCCCTACAACGGCTCCCTCATCCCTCCAAGGGCTCCCATATCTCCTCCAAGGACTTCCCATGTCTCTTTTCTCACAGGCCCCTCTCTGGGGCCTTCCTTTACTGGATACAAGTCTGCACTTTCTGACTTTGCTGAGCCAGCTAGTCCATCTGTCTCCTCTGTCATGACAAACACAAAACATGTTTACACCTGCCTGGAGAAACCTTTTGTGGGAAACAGTCTTTTCGCAGCAGAACTCAGTATCATGTCCCTCCCCGGAGTCAGACAAGTCACTAAACCATGTCGGAATGTGAGCTTCCTGACTTCATAATATTTAAGGTTGTGTGTAGCTCAGAAGTCAGAATACACAATGAAGTTGTCCAAAAGAAATGGGAAAAAAAAGTTCAGCAATCTGAAGGCACAAACAGGATTGCAAAAGCAGTATCTACAAGATTGCAAAAGCAGTATCTACAAATAAGAATCATAAGACAGGGCTCATGGTGCATTTGATTTTGTAGAAAGCTGGTGTTTACCAGGGAGGCCTTGGCAGTTTGCCAGGTCAAATGTTGAAGAAACTCCACTGCTCTTGATTTTGAGTCCTGCCCTGGGGAAGGCAAGCCAACTCTTAATCTTAGGTGATTCTGCTGTCCCTCCTCCAAGTACTTAGCTTTCCTGACCGTGCCAGCGGTTTGCAAAAGGTCTATTGTTTGGATGGCAGTAGATAGAAAGCTAAGGTAAGAGGCCCGTAGCAACCTCTTTAAACATGCCAATCACAGCCCTGCCTTTGGCCTGTCCTCCGACTGCTGCAGGCCCAGCAGGCTGTCCCGCGTGTGCCCGTGCACAGGGCTCCTTTCTGACTCTCCTGTCTTAAATGGGCTCCGCAAACAACAGGTGGCCATTTCTGTCAGCAAGTGGATATAAACTGCATCAGCCAGTCTCTGCAGCCTGGGCCAGACCCACTGGCCATGCAGTGCAAAACCACACTGTCTGTCTTGGCAAGACCGACCGGCCATCTAGGATGTCGGGTTCTCATATGACTGCACCTCTTTGCAGCACAGAAGATCTTCCAGACGTGGGTACTGATTCTGATGCAAAGGTGCTGTTTGTTCACGGTTCCAAAGACCATACAATCAAAAGACCCAGCCTAAAATTAGTATTTAAGGGGAGGGAGAAAGTTTCCTTGGGAACACAAGTTGGTCTACAGGCTCTCAGCTGTTTTAAAAGCTAACATGGCAACACCTACGTGAAAGTATACTCAGAAGTAAAGGGTGGCTGCCTAGGTCTGGATCAGGGTGTGGTCCTTGCCTTTTTGCAAGGACAAATATACTGTCATGAAAGTTCACTTTGGAAAACGGACTTGGAAAGTGCCTCATCTCTACACCAGCAAAAGCCCTTTGCTTTAATGCAAACCCACGCACAAGTTCCAGCAGGCTTGTTGGTCCCCAGCGACCTGCACCTACCTTGTCTGGTGGTGAAGAAAGAGGTAGGCAGCGGGAGACAGACACTCTGGAGCTTACTGCGAGGGGAGGGACGTGCAGAGGGAGGGAGGAGCCTCGTCCAGCACGGGAAGTGGACGCGGTGACGGGGCGGCCCGGTGACCTGTATTCCGGGGGAAAGTCCGAGCCAAGGGAGCTGGGAAGGAGGAAGAGGAGGAGGAGACCTGAAATCAGGGGGTCTGCGGGGACCGCGAAGGGGCTCGCTCTGGGATGGAGGCAAGAGGGCGGGGTGGGAAGAGAGGTGATAGGAGGAAAGCAGGGGTCAGAGGAGACAGGGAGGGAGCCTGGGATGCTGCCCGGTGCCCGTCTGCTGGGACCTGTGCTTCTCGGTTGTCAGTCACAATCAGGCTTTGTCAAGGAATAAGCTACTATATTTGTGTACCTAACCCCCACGTCCATATTCTCTTCATGTGACTCGGGTCACTGTCTAAGGAGGAAGGAAAGGAGTGAAAGAAAACCCTGAGGAAAAAAAAAAGATGGAGTGGGTAGCGGCTTCCTGTTGCCCCAACCTTCCCTCAACACCCCCAAGCAAAGGCAATGAAACCGTGTTCATTTTCGTGCAAGTTTGTGACCTTGCTTTGGGTAGCCCTGTCTTCAAGACAAGCTAGACCGTACAAACAAAAAGACCTCCCCACCCCCACTCCCCACACCCGGAGAGCAGGTGACTCGCAGCAGAGATCCCTGAACTCCGGTTAACATCTCAGGAGGGACAGGATTGTTCCTCTGTTATGAACTGTCAAAAGCGAGCACAATGAAGGGGAGGGGGGGAACCCTTCGTCAGTTTCCCACTAAATCAAAACTTTTTCTCCTCAGAAAGTGTGTGTGAGAGAGAGAGGGAGATTTAGGTTTGTTTGTTTTATTTCCATTTTTTAACTTTGTGTATGGGTATTTTGCCTGCACGTGTGTCTGTGTGCCTGGTGCCCCTAGAGGCCAGAAGAGTGCAGTGGACCCCAGGGACTGGAGTAATAGACAGGTGGTGTGAGTGCTCCAAACCAAGCCTGCCTGTGTTCTCTGGGAGAACCACGAGGGCTCTTGAGTGCTGGGCCGCCTTTCCAGCCTCAGTTTGTTTGTTTATTTATTTGTTTGTTTCTGAGACAGAATCTCCCTGTGTAGCCCAGGTTGGCCTTGAATTTGCCCTGTAGCCTTTTCTGGCCTTGAACTCTTGATATTCCTGGGGCTACCTCCCAAGTGCTAGGCCACGATGTGTGTGTCACCACACAAACTATATGACTTTCTCCCCCCTTCTCGTTTCTTTAAAATCTCTCTCTCTCTCTCTCTCTCTCTCTCTCTCTCTCTCTGTGTGTGTGTGTGTGTGTGTGTGTGTATGTGTGTGTGTGTGTGTTTTGCCTGCATGACCACTCCATGGTATGGCTGAGGTTTTTATTGCAGACATGAGGGAGAGTACATCCAGAGGCTCTTAGAAAAGTCCAGATTGGATACAGGGAGCAGAACAGACTGGGCCATGAGAGGAGAAAGAAGGGAGGCAGTGGTGATGTAAGAACAGAGAGAAGAAAGAGGGAGCAAAGGAGAAGGGGCCAAGGAAGGAAAGAACCAACAGAATCAAGAGAGAGAATGTGGCTGAAATGGCAGGGTTCTATAGGAAAGAGAGGTTAGACAAGGGAGGGAATGGAAGGAGATGGGAGAGAAGGGGAAGAAAGGGGATGGTAGGGGAAGGGAAGGGAGGGGAGGGAAAGTCAAGTCCCTGGGCATGATGAGAAAAACTGAGAGGTGCCCTGGGTACTGAGTAAGCCTGGAGGCCTGTGTGTGCTTTGATATGCTAATAGGTACCACAGTTAGCCATTTGTCCTGAGTTTCTTGGGGACCTGACACATGTATGTATGTATGTATGTGTATGCATGTGCACCATGTGGTTGCCTGATAGCCTTCAAGCCTCAAAAAGGACATTGGATCCCCTGGAACTGCACTTAGACTCCAGCTGTGAGCTACTCTGTGGGTGTGGGGAACCGAACCTGGGTCCTCCGGAAGAGCAGCATATACGCACTGAGCCACATTCTGGCTCTTCGCTTTCCTTTCTTAAGAAACAGAAACAGAGACCGTATGTGAAGAAGAGGAAAGCAGGCCAGATGTGGTGGCGCAGGTCTTTAATCCCAGCACTCAGGAGGCAGAGGCAGGCAGATCTCTGTAAATTCGAGGCCAACCTGGTAAGTTCTAGGGCAGCTAGAGCAACATAGCTATATAGTGTGTCCCTGTCTCTAAGTAAGTAAGTAAATAAATATAAAATAAGAGGAAAGCACTCCTGTGAATGGGAGTGGACTAGTATTCACGGACCATAACGAACTCAAAAACTGTAAGAGTGTTTTCAAGGGCTGGGACTGTAGCTCAGTTGGTTGAGCGTTTGCCTGACAGGCACAGCCTGGCTTGGATTTCCCAGTACTGCATAATAAAATCAGGACCACTGGTATATTGCCTTGATCCCAGCACTCAGGGGGTGGAGGTCAAGAAAAAGTTCCAAGTCTTCCTTGGCTACATGGCAGATTTGAGGCCAGCCTGGGTTACATGAGATACTGGAGCGTTAAAACAAACAACTAAAACTGTTTTCAAGTATCGTTTCACGTCTTTGAAATAATAGATATGACTAATTACATATCATTTTTCCCTATTTGCTAAATTTAGCTCCCCCAGCATCAGTTCTGGTCTCTAACTTAATAACACTGTTATTAATAGATGGGATTTTATATTCTAAGGACTCTGCCTTTGCACAGTTTGCCAGGCTGTGAGGAGCCCAGCGCGAGGGGCTGGAAGCCCGTGGTGATGGAGAGAAGCTGGGTCCTGCACTTCAGAGACCATCTTCTGGGCAAGGAAAGCCTGCTCTTTACAAGAGTCACTCTCGCGGTGCTTTGTTTGTATGTAATAAATAAAGTCTGCCTGAAGACCAGAATGCAAAGCTAAGCCACTAGAGGCCAGGGAATGATGTCACAAACCTTTAATCCCAGGACTCGGGAGACAGAGGCAGAAGGATCTCTGTGAGTTCAAGGTTACCCTGGGCTACACGGGATCCATCAAGAAACAAATCTAGGTGGTAGTAGCTCACATCTTTAATCCCAGTGTTTGGGAGTCACACACTTTTAATCCCAGCACTAGGGATGTGGAGACAGGAATAATATGGCTGAGGGGAGAAAGAAACATAAAGGGAACTCACTGGACTGAGGAGTCTGGGGATTTGTGGAAACAGGATCTTGCCCTTTCGGTCTGAAGATTTGGCAGAGGTGAAAGATCTCTCTAGTGCTTGGCTGCTTTGCTTTCTGATCTTGAGCTTGAACCCCAACGCCTGTCTCTGGGTTTGTGTTATTGGAGCAATAAGTCGTCATTAACATTTCTCCTACCCCCGCTCTCAGCCACCCAAAGAAATGCCTCTGCTCTTTGCCTCTGTCCCCTTAACTGCAAAGTCAGGGGATCACACTGGGTTTGGCCCTTCTACTCTTCTCAGGGGTCGCTGGTTACACTGCAAGGCTAAACTCTGACCTCAGAGCTTCCCATCGGGGGTCCAGATGAACCTCAGACACTGAGCCCCTTGATCCTGACACAGAAGCGCACACCACGCTTTGTCTTTGTCGTTTCAAGGGTTCGGCATATTTACACAAGCTGGCTGTGAAGTGTTGCTAGGTAACCATATCTAATGTTAAAGGCCAAAGGTGACACGTAAGGCAGAGAGAAGGTAAGAAAAGATCGTGAGTCAGCGACACCCGCTGAACAAGAACCGGTGCTCGTCCTGCCTGCTTCTCACCAGGATGATGAGGTGGCCTTGCAAAAAAACGGAGAGCTGTTCTTCGTGAAACTTAAGTCACACAGTTGGGCAGAGAGGCGGCACACTAGGAGAAAGCTAGATTGTTGGTCCTGCTGCCGCTTCAGGCGGCAGAGCAGTGCCACAGGGAGCGCTAAAGAAAGGCTCCAGCCTTCCTCGCTCCACCGCTCTAGACAGCGCATTCCTCCCGTCTCACCCAACCTGGGAACACAGCAAAGGGAATTCTAGGAAATACGGCTCAGTCTACGACAGGGGACGCATTGCCAAACCGCGGCACCATGGAGGATGCCTTAGCCGACCTCTACACATCCAGTTCAGACGCTGATCCTAACTCTCACTGTGGTAGGATTAGGAGGTGCAGTCTCAGAGAGGAGCTCAGAATAGTGTTAGTGCCCAGAAGAAGGGACCAGAGTACAGAACCAAAAATAAGGAGCTACCTCTACTATACTGCCTTATCTCAGGCTCACAGCTGCCTGAGGGGTGTCTGTCGTGTAACTCACCCAGTTTAGAACGGTTTTGTTCTAACTGTCTGACTCTATGCCTGGAGACAGATCAGGAACGCACAAATGCTTTTCGGTACAGTTGCTTCACGGCGAACAGAATCCTTCATGTGCTAGTCTGGTGTGTCTGTGGTGGAATCACATATTGCCTCGAGACTTGCCTGAAATAGACAATAGGCACATTTTAGGGTTTGTTTTGTTTCTTATTTTGTTTTGTTTGTTTTCTTTGTGTTTTTGAGACAGGGTCTCACTCGGTAGCCCAGGTTGGCCCGGAACTCACTTTGTAGACCAAGCTGGCCTCAAACTCACAGAATCTACCCGCCTCTGCCTCCTGAGCGCGGGGACTCAAAGTATGTGCCAGCACACCCGGCCTATTTTGGATATATTTTTAAAAGATTTATTTTATTTATGTATCTGAGTGTGTGTGTGCCATGTATGTGTGGATGCCCACAGAGGAGAGCATTGGGTTTCAGGGAGCTGGACTTACAGGCAGTCGGGAGTCACCCGAGTGGGTGCAGGAAAAGAACACAAGTCCTCTGGAGGACGAGTGGCGAATGCTTTTAACCACTGGGCCATCTCTCCAAACCCGATGTCTTACCTGTAAACATCTGAACAACGAAAAGAAGCCACCAAGGTGTAACCACCTAGAATGAATTGAGGACCCGTCATAGTCATCAGTTCTTTCTGGGGCCGGCTGGGGGTGGGGGTAGGGGCTGTAACAGCGGAAGTGGCAGCTTTCTGGCATCAGCTGCTTCCTGTCAGGCTCTACTGGAAACCCATCCCACAGCGAATAGTTAATTAAAGCCAGTGCGGTTCCCGGATGAGCTCTCCCAGCTGAGTGAGCACCAAACTTCGGGGTCGAACTCCGCAGTTGCTGCAAGTTACTCTTGCAATGTTGTTTTGATTTTTCATTAGGAAATAAGGAACCAAATTCCAGGGACCGATGAGTCCAAGCTGAGTTAACAAAGGAACAAAGGCAAAGTTAAACAAAACTGCTGACTGCACCAGCCCCTGTGAAGATCGCTGCCCTTCATCACAAGGTTAGAAAAAACATTCCTTCTGAACCATCTCTCCTAAGAAAACTGGAGCAAATCGGGACCGGCACCTTCAGGGTATCTGGGGAAAGTACCTGAGAAGAGCACCCCCACCTCATCTGTTCACACTTATAGGCTGCAGCTGAAGAGAGGCGACTAGGAAGTGCCACCCCCAGGTGCAGGACAGGCATGGGGGGTTGCTTATTGCTCTCTCACGTGGTCTCTCTCTCTCTCTCTTTCTCTCTCTCTCTCTCTCTCTCCCTCTCTCTCCCTCACTTGTTACATATCTTTTCTAGGGAAATAGCTGCCATGCTTTCTTGGTGTGGCCCCTGTGGGCTTATGTGCAACTCCTGCTCACACCTGAGAGATGTTGAGGCAGTATCACACAGCCAGATCTGGCCTCCCTCTCCCAGAAGCAGAAACGTGACAGTCACAATATACAACAATGTTAACGGTTTCGCCCCACTAAGATTGGGGCTAAATTTAGTGATTATCGGTATCTGAAGTAGGTGCTGCTTTTACTAAACCTCCCCTGTGGAAGTGGCTTTGGAACTGGACGAGAGACTTGTTTGAGAGTGGCTGAGAGCCTTGGACAGCCTCAGTAGGCTTCCGGTGCTTGCAGGAAAGCAAGGCCGAAGCTGTGAGAAATGCAAGGATGGGCCAGGAGGTGGTGGTGCCAGCCTTTAAACCTAGCACATGAATCTCTGTGAGTTCGAGACCAGCCTGGTCTACAGAGTGAGTTCCAGCACAGCCAGGGCTACACAGAGAAACCTGTCTCAAAAAAACTAAAAAAAAAAAAAAAAAAGAAAGAAAGAAAGAAAGAAAAAGAAAGAAGAGAAGAGAAAAGAAATGCAAGGATGGGCTCTTCTAAAGCAGCCGCTACTGAGCAGTGCTACCTGCCACAGCCATGGGGACAGAAGCGGATGTACTGGGGGACCATTCAAATCAGAATGTTGGCGTTTGCCTGTTTCCTCCAGTTGCTTCAAGTAAGATGCTGATGGGAACACTTCAGCAGATAAAGCAGTTGGCAGTTGGCACTGTGCCTGGGGAGACCTGGACAAGAGTCTCTTCACCCCAGATGACAGACCAAAATAAGGGTATCACCAAGTCTTACCTGGCAAGCCAATGAGTTTATTGGGTGAGAGGCCATTTATAGAATCAGAAATAACTCACAGGCAGCTGTGTCGTGAGAAGCCCACCCCAGCATGAGTAACAGCTCATAAACGCTGAATGCTGAGCTCAGCATACCACTCAGAGACAGGTCAATGGTTTGGAGAGTCTCTCCGGACAACCAGTCTGAGTCACTTCAGCAGTCCTTACTGTGTCTCGGACTGTGGGGTCTGATGAGCCGTGATGTGGTCAGTTTCAGGGACTTCCTGGGAGTTTTTAGTTTGCTTGAGTCTGAAGAGCCTTCTATAGACGTCATTGGGTCCTAACAGAGGAAACTGCTACATACAGGAGCTGGGACTTTGGAAATCATCAGCCTTCTCAAGAGAAAACTGCCCAAATTGTGAAATGGCTTCCAAGCAAAGATCAAATGCAGGGGTGTGCTGTGAAAGCTGCCACCCAGATATCTGTAGGTATGACCCAAAATACACACACACACACACACACACACACACACACACACTCTATCTATCTATCTATCTATCTATCTATCTATCTATCTATCTATCTATATTAGATTTCAGGAGCAGGGGAGATAGCACAGTAAGTAAAGTGCTTGCCCTGCAATCTAAAGGCCTGACTTCAGGCATGAAAAACCCAGGTATAGATCCGAGTTTGCCAAGCGCCAGTCTGTAACTCCAGCCTTGTGGGAAGGGGAGCAGAGCCAGCAGAGCTGAACTGAGGAGTTTCTGTTCTGTGAAAGACTCTGTCTCAAAAAAAATCAAGGTGGAGAGCGATCAAGGACAGACACACAACACTGACGTTGGGCTCCCACATGCCAGTGCATATAGATACATGCATACCTGAACATACATGTGCACACATACACACATACTTCAGAAATATAAAAGGCATCAGCTCAGACAACCTTATTCAAACAAATGGTCCTTCACTGAGGTTAAGAGCACACTTCACAGACCAAGCAGTCAGTGTGCTCAGTGGGGAACTCCTCCACAATGCCCTCAGGGCTGATGCCCTGCACAGCACACACTGTTTCCAGAATTGGAACCCCACTAAGGGAGGCAGGTAGGCATTACTCCTGACAGTCATTTTTTTTTTTTTGTAAATGTGATTTTCACCTTGATGCTCAGGTCCATTTCCCTTCCCTCCATCTTTCTTTCCCTCCTGTTAATCCATTTGCTCTAGGAGAGGCCAGTACCAAGAGGCCTCATGATGAAGAACTGAGACAAAGGTCAACACAGAGCTGAAGATTCTCTCCAATTGGTCACGTGGCTATCTGGTGTAGGAGGTCTTTCTGTCTATGTGTTGCTTTCATTGGTTAATAAAGGAACTGCTCTGGGTCTATAGCAGAGATGTAGGGAACAGAGCTAGGTGGAAAAAACTAATCAAAATGCTGGGGAGAAGGATGGTGGAGAGAGAGAAGCCATGGAGCTGCCAGAGTCAGACATGCTGAATCTCTGTGAAGCCACTGCCATGTGGTGATATACAGATTAATAGAAATGGGTTAAATTAATATAAGAGTTAGCCAATAAAAGCTAGAGTTAATGGGCCAAGCAGTGTTTTAATTAATATAGTTTCTGTGTGGTTATTTTGGTTCTGGGTGGCCAGGATGAACAAGCGGTCTCCTTTTACAGCTATCCATTTAGGGAACAGATTCTTGGACCCTAGTAAAGCACCAGAAGATTACACACCTGAATACGTACTGAAGCTAACTTCCCGAGAAACTCTGAGTAAGCCACTGAGCTAGGGTGCTCAGATTCCTGACACTTGGAAGGTATATGAACTACTAAGTGTTGGTGGGTAGCATTCATTTGTTGAGAACAAGATCTGTCTCAATGCAGCAGCATTTTACTAAATGGTAAAAATCAAAGCACTTCCACCCAAATTGGGAACAGACAATGGTGTCCACTTTCTCCACTCACATGCAATACAGTACTTGAGTTCTTAGCAGAGCAACAATACCAGAGGGGAGCAGGAGGGAGACAAATAGGAAACAAAAAAGCAGAAGTCTTTATGGGTAGATGATACATGAGAGACCCTAAAGACTCCACTAGAAAACCCTTAGATCTGGCTAACACTTTCAGCAAAGGATACAAAAAATAAATCTGTAGTCTTCCTATATACCAGTAACAGAGATGTTAATAATCAGTGGAACTTGCTCTGTAGACCAGGCTGTGATGGGGAAAGCCTTGTTAACCAATAATCTTTAAGGGGTGGGTCTTAGTTAAGGCATGGTTTCGCTGGGGCCCAGGTAAAAAGGTGTGCACCTCCCTGTGCGCCCTCTCTGCACCTTTTCCCAAGGGACATTGCAGTGCTTGGATTTCTCATTTCCTGTTTCGTGAGTTTTCCTCTTATAATAAATAAAACATAATTGTTTTATCCTTAGCTAGCCTGGTTATTTCAACGAGGCTGGCCTCGAGCTCACAGAGCTCCACCAGCCTCTGCCTCCCGAGTACTGGGCTTAAAGGTGTGTGCACCACCACCTATCCCCCACCCACTGCACCCCACCTCCAGCTAGAGTGGTGGTTCCCCCTCCCCGATGGCTAGGTTGCCTGAAAGCTGCTGCTGCTACTTGCTGCCACTGGCCAACATCACAGAGTACCAGTACCAAATTGTCTATCACTAAGCTGGCTCTTTAGTTTGGGGTGAGTGACTGCTAGGGTATGGCTGGAGCAGCCACACATGAATTCAGGTGCTCTGCCATAGCTACACTCCACAATATGAGCACCTCTGTGGTGAGAGAAGACAGTGAAACAAACAGACACCGAGGTGATCTTGTTAAGTCTCCCAGGCTGTCCTTGAACTCATGATCCTTCTGCCTCAGTCTCAGTGTTTGTCCTTTTCTCAACCTTCAGTTCTAGTAACTCGCTCCTTTAAGACAAGTGTCTCTTTCATACTAAGACTTGGTGTGGGAGAATTGTCTGTATTCTGTCAATCATGTATTTTAATAAAACGCTGATTGGCCAGGCAGGCCGTATAGGCAGGAAAGCCAGACAGGAAGTAGAGGTGGAGCAAAGAGACTGGGAGTATTCTAGTAAGCTCCCTCTGCCAGTGCTGCCCAGACCACTGGAGAGGAAAGATGTAAGCTGCCCAGCTGAGAAAGGTATGGAGCCATGTGGCTAACGTAGATAAGGATAATGGGGTAACATAAGTTATAAGAACTAATAAGTAGCCTGAACAAATGGGCCAATCAGCTTTATAACTTATAGAGATCTCTGTGTGATTGATTTTTATTGGGGCTTGCCGGTTGTGGGGTACTGGGCAGGACGAATACCCCAATAAGTCGGCCCCTCATGTTACAAAGAATGTCATTAGCTTTCCATGCTTGCAACTCAAGAGTCTCATTATATATTCCGTGAGATATGGCTCCTTACCTGACATCTACAATTTGGAGAATTAAGGCAACGGGAATGGTTCACTCTCAGTTCTGAATATAAAGGCTGTGCTCCCTGCAATGCATCTTGGGGGAGGATGCTCCCCTGCCTCCTTCAGCTTCTGAGGCTGCAGGTGGTCCTTGGCTGTAACTGCATCTCTC